TCCCACCTGGTTGCTGGTGGTGTTCTGGCCACTGGTGGAGTTCAGACTGCCACTTGTTGAATGCTGCTAGTGTATTGGTCACTGCCACACCATTTTCTCCACTGCTTTCCTGTGTCTATCAGTCTCCAGGTGCCCCTCTGCCATCGGTCTGTTCTCTTCTGTTTTCTAGAATCTGCTTCACCCTAATGTTAATGATTCTCCATCTGTTTAAACATCTCCTCACCTTATTCTGCCTTCTTGAATTTCTTGAAACCCATTTAAACCTCTTAATGTGCTGTTGAATTCAGTTTGATAGTATCTGTGGAAGAACTTCATGTGTGTTAAGCAGAGATGTTCTACAATCATGGTGGTTTATTGTCCAGATATGTATGAGGGAAATGCTAGCTTCTAAGGAAGAGTTATCTCATCCTCAGTTTTTGAAAGTGTTTGAGAAAAATAAGTTTTTATTTTATTTAAAATTTCACTAGAGTTCACCAATGAAACTATCTAGCTCTGAACATTTGTTTATTGTCTGTTTAGTTTTTTGCTTGTTTATATACTTCAGTTTTGGTAAGTTATGTATTTGTAGGTATTTATCCATTTCATCAATATTAGACAACTTATTGGCATAAAAAATACTAAAACCTTGCACTTTTTATATCTGAAAACAGTGGTTATAATGTACTCTCTTACATTAATGGAATTTTTTGTTTTGTTTTTAAAGATTTATTTATTTTTATTGGAAAGTAGACTTACAAAGAGAAGGAGAAAGAGAGAGATCCTTCATCCTCTGGTTCATTCCCCAAGAGGCCGCAACAGCTTGAGTTGTGCTAATTTGAAGCCAGGAGCCAGGAGCTTCCTCTAGTTTTTCATTGTTGATGAAGTGTCCCAAGGCTTTGGGCCGTCCTCGACTGTTTTCCCAGGCCACAAGCAGGGAGCTGGATGGGAAGTGGAGCTGCTGGGTTCAGAATTGGTGCCTGTATGGGATCCTGGGTGTTCAAGGACAGGATTTTAGCTGCTAGGCTACCATGCAGGGCCCTGTTAGTCTTTTCTAAGAATCAATTTTTGGTTTCATTCCTTTTCTCTATAACTTTTTTATTTTTATTTTTTTCATTTGTCTCTTCTACAGCGTTTATCGCACTGGTAGCCGTTCACCAGGTCGATGCAGCGCCCTTCGTTGAGGCAGGGGCTGCTGTAGCACTCGTCGATCTGGTCGCTGCAGATGGCGCCCATGTACCCGGGGTTGCAGAGGCAGGTGTAGGAGTCAATGCCATCCTGGCACTGGCCGTGGTGGCAGGGGTCAGGGTCGCAGTTGTCGATGTTCTCCCCACACAACACGCCGGTGAAGCCTTGGGGAGAAACCCACCAGGGAGATGATGAACCCTGCCAGAGCTGCCTTCCTGCCTTAGCCCTGCACACCCCGGGCCTGCAGGGGTGAAGACGGCTGGGCTGGCTCCTCAGCAACTACTTGCAGGCTCTTAGGAGGCTGGACTGGGAGACGCCGGCAAGGTGAGGACCAGTTGTGGGAGTGGGATTCAAACTTCCCTAGGACTGGGAAGTACCTTGTGGTAGGGCTGCTGAAGCCACATCCTTGCGTCTCACCAGACGCTGGTGGGCTGCGTGCTTCTCCAGAAGCTTGCATCTTCCTCCCAAACCCCACACCCTTGCCATCTCCTCTCCCTTGTTCCAAATGACAGAGAACATTTCTGTATCTCTCCCACCCCCTCCCAAAGTGCTGGGTATTTATGCTATACTTTTCAAACACACAAGGCTTAAGTAGCCCACATGTATCTTCCTCCCCTCCACTAAACCCCAGGTCAGAGTGGTGAGCCTCTCTCTAATGAAGCCCACCCACCAGAAGGCTCTGACCTGGAAAGAAAAGCCCAGAACTTCTCTGACTTGCAGTAAAGTATGTAAAAGAGGGAGAGGGAGGGAAGTAATATGGCTTCTCTGAGTTGGCCTTGGCTGAACAGATCTAATAATGGTGATGTTAACATTCTACACAGACTTGTGTGACTAAATTTACTTTTTTGTCGTCAAAAAAAAATGTCTATGGTGATTTACAACCCCTTAAGAATCCATTTTCTTTTTTTATTATTATTATTTTATTTTTCCTTTCTTTGTTAAGAACCCATTTTCTAAAATAGTGCCTTGAATTATATCTGAAACATCCTTTTCAAGCAATCGGGTAATTTAAAAGTTTATCTTTTCTAGTAATTTATAGGCACTCCCCATTATATTGGCCTGTGTAAAAACAGCTGTATAATAGGGGCTATTCAGCTTATCTAAATCCTGTTCCAGGAGAGGAATGCTGGCATAGATCGAGACATGACAAATAGTTGGGAATTTATCTGTTGAACTCTAGTAGCAGATATCCACAAGGAAGCTCAGAATGATCTCAGGAAGAGCTTGCTCCCATGAGCCCCACACCTGTGTCAATTGTTACACAGACACTGGGGTTTTTCACACTCAGATCTTGGGTTTCAAGGTCTTCCAGTTGCATGCTTTGGAAAACATGGAGACCCACCACACACTGAGAGGTCCCAGTGAAAATCAGCTTTCAATTGGGATTCTTCTGCTTCCCAGTGGAGTCAAGCAAACCTGGTGGGAACTCATTGTTTCAAAATCTGTCCCAGAAAAACACGGATACCTACTGGGACTATCTGGGCCAAGCCTCCCTTGGGGGTTGGTGTGGGGAGACAGATGTTACAGGAGGAGACCTTGGAGTACCAGGACATCTCTTGGCAAAAGCTGTCTGTAAATGCAGAGCAGCCACCTGAGGTCTCAGCCAGAGAAGCATCTTCTCCAGGCACCTGTGGGCCAAAAAAGAAGAAAGGGGGATATCCTCTGGACAGTGTACCAGCTGTGCCAATTACAAACTAAAGATGCCCAATTTAGTTTGGATGTCAGATAAAATGATTTTTACGGCTACTGTGTCTCCAATATGTATGTATGTATGTATGCTATACTGTGCCCGGCATCCTGCTTCCCGGCTTTCCTTTCTGTCCACCGGAACGGATGCCTTGTCACGTGCACCTGGTGCTCACTCTACACCGCGTTCATCAGGGAAGACTGGACGTGACGCTGTCTGAGGGGATTGCAGGGTCTTGCCCCTCAGGTCATCTCAAGGCATTCATTTCCCAATGTTCTGACTACATCAAGAGCGTTGTCTACAATAAGAAATGGCTTTTCAGTCCACCCAGTTCTTCTCCTTCTCTCAATCTCGGCAGCAATTCTATACCAACTCCCCTCAGAACACTCTCCTGATTCCACTCACATCTTCAGCCCCATCATCCAAATTGTTGTGACCCATGACTTTCTGAACCCTGGTGTTCACTTGTCCAGGACCAATCTTTCAGAAATGTACATCTGACCATGGTACATACTGGCTGAAAGCTTTCCAAAGACTCAGATTCTGAAATATTAAGTTTTGACAGAAATCCCTTTTCTGTGACTATGAGATCAGATTGTTGTTTTAAATCTCTAAGATTTCTGAATATCTGACAAAGCATGTCATATGAATCTGTGACACTATGGCAGAAATTTCAGAATATCAAAACTCCCAAATAAGTTAAAGGGGTTTACTCTTTTTCTTCTGAGGGTCATGCCCTGAATGTAACACCACCCTACACTCAACTCTAAATCTCAAGCAGAAATCTCTATGCATCCACACAAGCCCAGCTGCACACTGGTGTTGAACTTGTGATGAACTGAGGGCAGGATCTGCATTCCATAGCTGAGCTTCTGCTGGGAGGGCCAGTGCCTCGGACTCCAGCACTCCAAAATTCCAAAGATGGACAGACATGTGTCTCCATAATGAAATCTGCTCTCGGCGTCTGCAGGCCTGACCATAACGGGGAGCATTTATCAGCTCTTGCAGAGGTGGAGCTATGGACTTACACTAAGCAAGTCTGTCTCTATACTCCAGTACAGTGAGGACCAGGGCTTGCATAGAGGGAAGAAGCAGATTTCCTGCCCAGGGATGGACCCATTAACTTCCTCAAATGTATCCTGCAAGTGTACCCCAAGATCAACAGACTGATGTTGGTCTGCCTGGGGCAGAAACAAAGGTCATTGGTACTCACTGGTACTCTTTTTCATGTAAGAAAATGACATTGTTAGATACAAAGTCCTGGAAGATTAAGATTTCCAAACAGGTTTTTTTCCCCATTAAATGCTTGCTTATTTTTGTTTATTCGAAAGGTACAGTGACAGAGATGGAGAGAGAGAAAGTGCTCTTCCGTGTGCTGCTTCACTCTCCAAATGCCCACAAGAGCTGCAGCTCGGTCAAGAAGAATCCACAAACCTAGCCCTCCATCTGGATCCCCAACCTGCGTGGCAGGGATCCCAGTGCTTCCCCAAGCTATTAGCAGGGAGCTAGACTGGAAGTGGAGCAGTCAGGACACAAATGAGTATCCTTATGGGATGCCAGCACTGCAGGAAGAAGCTTAGCCTACTATGCTACAGTGCTAGCCCCTTCCTTACATTTTTGTTTCTAGGAAACAACTGTATTGTTAACTTTGTTGAAATCCGGGAATGCAAAAGGACACAACAAAGAACTTTTCCCAAGAAACAGTTGAAGATCTCATTTCAGTGTTTATGGAGTGGCTTCTCAATGAAAGGTTCTTAATCACAGTAAACCAAATTTTATTGCAGTTTGACTTAATGTTTGGGAACAATGTTTTCAAAATGTGGACTGCAGCCCATTTGCATCACCAGGGCTGTTTACATTTAAAAATACAGACCCTACCGTCTTCTCACACCGACGGAAGCTCTTGGGATTGGGGTACAGGCGATACTGCTACCACGTCCACTACTGACTCCAACAGCACAAGTGGAAGACTCACCCCTACACACTTTTACATGGAGGGAGGTCTTTAAAAATGACCCCGTCGAAGCAATCTTTTCAATGTAGACATCATATGTTAGATCATAAGCTTCTTAATAGTACTCTGTCTTTCTGCTTCTTTCACACTCAGTTCAGGGATTTGTGCACAAACAGGAAACAAAGCAGGCAGAGAAAAACTGTTTATTACTTTATACACATTGCTTTAACATCTACCAAAAAGATTATCCTTTGCTCTTGCCAACCCTGCCTACAAGTTACATTGCCCTTTGCGGTGGCTTTAGCACCATATATAAATCTGCTGCATACATTTGTACACACATACACACCATCTGTATGCACTGTGAAAACACAGGCGAGGCGTGAGCATAGTTGAAGCCTTCTCCCAGGCCACTCAAAAAAAAAAACCCCACAATTTGTTGTACACAAGAGTTTTAACAGACTAGGTATGGCCTTCCGTGCCAAATTGTTTGGGTGGATTTCAGGTGAAAAAAAAAATAGGACAGGAAATAGATCAAAACCAGGAGGAGCATGAGGCAGTGTGAAATGGCATCTGTGATGTCCCTACAGTCACCGTGTGTGACGCTGCAGGCTGCAGAGTGCTAACTGGGGGCAGGTCTGGGAGCAGCGCTCATGGAGCCCCTGACACTGTCCAGCAAGGCACTGCCACTCAGCAGTGTGCTTCTAGAACTGTCTGTGTAGCTCTGCGATGGGGACCACACGTCCTGTCTGCAGGCAGCTCGGTCCTACTTGTCTTGAGTTGGCCAATTAGGAGCAGCTGCATAGGTGAGAACCGTGCTGTGGCCACTGCTATGCCAGTGGGCTGCTTACGAGCAGTGTCACAGGGTCCTTCCTCTCTGTGTGTTTGGCTTCTTGCTGGGGCTGACAGATCTTGGCTAGTGGTGGTCTTCCACTGCCAGGAAGGCACTCTGCCTTCCTCCCTGCCCCCTCCATGACTCCTTAGAGCCCTTCTCCTGACCCTGCAGTGGGCTTGGAGGAATAGGGCTCAGCTCCTCTTCAGCAAGAAGGCAGTGGAGCTACAGGACACAGGCCCATTTCTCCTGGCTGGTTCAGAGATCTCCTTTGGATGCGCTTCCTGCATGGTTCCTGGAAGGTAAGGGTCACAAAGCTGGAGCACATGACAGCATCCTTTGTGATTTCACCTGGAGAGAAATAAAAGCCAATGAATGCTGGGTGGCTTGTTGGGTGGGTGCTGATGGCTGCCTGAGGCAGCAGTGTGAATGATGTGGACATATAAGCCAGGAGCATGATGGGAGCCAAGTAAGAGGATGCACTGAGGGGATGTGATGTGGTTTGGGAGAGCAACAGGTGCCCCCAGGTTAGAGAAAAAGCCTTCCTAATATGCGCCAAGGTCCCTGCTGGAAGCCCCTGCTTGGTGCTCTGCTGGATCCTGCCAGGTACTCTTTGAGCCCCATGGGCACAAACTGACCACCTCTGCTGGCTCCCAAACAAGAAGTGCTTAGCATGACACATGCGCATGGAGAAACAGCTTATTGCAGATGAGGCGGGGGGATGACGTTTTGCAGGGATGTCCCTGTTAAGTTTAGCTCCCAGTTACCTTAGTTAAGAGTGAGGATAGCAAGGATCCTAAAAATGATCTAAGTCCACAGATGGAGGGTCAGTAGTCTGACTGCAATTAAAGGAGCCTGCCAAAGCTATACAACCAGTTAGTGACCAGCCTGGATAGGAAAACAGGCCTCAGGCCCTGTACAAGCATCCAAGGCAACTAGAGCGGAAAGCTTGCACACTGGAGGGGCCGGCGGGGCTGGAGGCTGTGCTGTTACCTTGGCTGGGACGGGAGGAAGGCTTTACAGAGGCAATCTTGTGAGGGCTGTGCTACAGAGGCTCAGGAAAGAAAGGAATCATGAGAACAGCAGAAGGGAGTCGGAAAAAGACACACCAAGCAAACCCAGACTCATCACTGCCACACTGTGAGAAACCACATCCTCTCAGTTACACGTCTGAACAGTTCTAGCAGTGCAGACAGGAGACCCAGCGAATGACCCTACACACACACACACACACACACACTTTCATGACAATCCTTAAAGGAAAATATATCCAAATGAAATTTCTATCTTCCTCACAATTTGCCTGCAGTAAGGGTCATTATCTTGGCTGCACCTTGCTGTATTTTTTTTTTTTCAAAAAGCAGTGCAGGAAACACTAGAACACTTGCACCATGGCCCAAGATGCCCTCACTGAAAGCTGGTTCAGAGGCAGACCTCCAAAATATTATCTGTGACCCCCTCACCCCCCGCCAAGGGGCAACTGACCATTTCTCCAAACTCCTCTCATGGCAAAATGGAGGGGGCAAGTGGGATCTACAGGAGAGAGGATGACAGTGTGAGAGCAAACAGAGATGTCAGAGGAGACTGGGTGGGGTGGCAGGTGACAATGGGGATGCGATGTGGAAGACTGCTCACGGGGCCCTGAGACTCTCCAAGGGGGCCAAGAGTCCTCCCCTGGTCGAGATCACCTACATGATGACGATGGCGCTGCGCGGGGGACGGGCTCTGTGGCTCTGGCTGCCATAGCACTCTCCTTACCTCCAAATTAGTCTTTGCCTTCTTCAAAACATCATGCGTCCTGGTCACTGAAACAGAGACAGCCCGGGGGAGCAGAAATTACTCACCTTGCAGGTTGTGGGCTTTCTCAGCATGTCCTCCTGATCACCTGGTGCCTGTCCCTCCAGGCCCTCTCCCCTCTCCTCCATGCCCCCCTCCCCTGCCAGCACTGGAGGGCCAGGAACACCCCATCCTGCTTCCTCTCCCACACTCCCTGATCCCTGAGCCTCTCTTCTCACTGCTCTCTGGCAGCACAAGAGGGGCTGGTGGAGAAGCAGCCTCCACCCCCAGCATTTCGCCCCAGTCCCGGCACAAGGGCACCTACACTGGCTGACGATGAACTGCTCCAGGTTCTCCCTCTGCTGGTTGGCGGTCCGCAGCCGCTCCGCTGTGCCCTGAAGCAGCCTCTGCTGCTCGGAGACTCGGGCTCTCAGCTCGGTGAGCTCTCTTTCCACTGACTCCCCCTGGGGAGAGGGACAGAATCCCAGTCAGCAGCCAGCAGGCGCAGAGCACCTGTACCCCCACGCATCTGCACCATCCCAGGAAGGATCCCACAAGCCTTCTCAAACACTCTCTAGACCAGATTCCCTCTGCTGCGGCCTTTCGCTGAGGGCGGTTTAGGGAAGTAAGGTTGGGAATCTAGGAGCCTGCTGGCAGAGCAGCACAGGTCTGCATTTGCATGGCAGAAGGAAACCTGGCTCGTCCTAGTCAGTATGAATCTCCCACCTGGAGAACAAGACCTGAATCTCATTCTGATATGTTTCCTCTCTCCTCCTTCTCATGCTAGCTAAGCACAGCAATAGCCAGTATGCAAGTCTGTAAATGTTTGTGCCACTATGAATCCTGCAAAATATCACCTCCCTAGAATCAATCTAGTGGGTCCCACCAGGCATCAGCAACATTTATCTCAGACTGGAATCTCGGGGAGGGCATCCTGAGCCTGCTGACCCAAGAGTCCATCAGAGCTGACCCCTGAGTATTACAGCCAATGTGAAGGAGGAGCCGCCTCTTCTCACGCCTTTAAATATGACATAATGAGATATAATTGTGAAAGCTGCTCTGTTTTTAATGCATTCCCCAAAGCTCACAAACTGAAAATTTAGCCCTCCATGCAAGTGTGTGTAGAGCTAATGGGATGACTTTAGGTTGGGAGGCTCACTCCTCATGGCAGGCCGAATGCTGTCAATGTAAAAGGGAGCCTGCCTCCAAGTGGGGTTTGTTCAGCCTTTTCCTGCCATCCTCCTGCATCCTCTAACTGTGTGATGCTGTGTGGCACGTTAGGATGCAGAGAGCAGGCCCTCAGTGCGGAAGGGTCTCTGAACATGGACTTCCCAGCCTGCAGATCCATGAATTACATCATCGTCAATGTTCCCATAACACCGAACACTTGGTCTTCTGTGACACAGTAGGTGACCCAGGAGAGTAGCCCCAAGAAGCCTGCAGTCTCATGGTGATGTCCTATGATCACTCAGACTAGGTGGATGCGAAAGGAGATGCTGAACAACCCTGGCAGTTAGCTCCAAGTTCTGAGTTATAGAACTTGAACTCTGATGGACAGATGAGCAGTGCTACCAGGCCACTCAATATCCTTTCCTTCCTCTCTTCGATTTCTTCTCCCAGGGCCCAAGGCTGGGGACCTAGGAAGATGAAAGCAGCCACATGGGCTAGAGGTCTGCCTCCAGGGACATCTGTTCCAACTCACCAAGCAGCTACAGAGGACCTGGGGGTGGAGCAGTGATGGGCTGGAAGGATTGGGAGCAGCCAGGGCAGGACCCTGGCCTCTTACCGCTTTGCCTAACAGCACGGGGCTGTGGGAGCTTGGCAAGGCTGCCCGCCAGAACATGGCCAGGAGTGCGGCTGCCTCCTGCAGGGTGTGGTGCAGGGCGCTGGTGCTGCTCCGAAGCTTGCGGAGGCCTTTGCAGTCCAGCACCTGGTGAAAGGGGGCAGCTGAGATAGGAGCTTCATTTTTCCCTTCTGGGCAAAGTTTCATTTCCCCTCAAGTTGTTTAGTGATTGCAGCACAGTGCACAGTACTGCTTGAATCTGCAAAAATCCTGCGCTCTGCCACAGGGAGCACAGGGAGCTCACAGGACTGATGTGGCTTTCCTCGGAGCTGGAAATCCCATTTCCCTCTGAATAGGTCAGCTAATACCTGTTCCTTTCCTTGCTGGGATGCATGAGTGCATCCACAAGGGGGCCTTCACAAAACCTCTGCACAGTGCCCTTCACCCCTCTGGATGCCTATCTACTCAGAAGTGTGTCTTGGCCCTGAGGGAGGGGCCCCGGAGGCAGGGCCATCACATCCCCGGGCCTCCAGCACAGGTACCTCATCTCCTAGCAGGGGACAGCATCCTGAGGAGCTGTGCTGACTGCACTTGCTGCCCTGCTCACTGTGGACAAGGAGCCCTTAGCTGCCAGGCTCTCACCCCTTCTATGCACAGGGCTCATAGGACTGGGAAGCCCTCAACATCTCCGGCCATCTGATAGACCTTATTCCACCCAGAGGGCCATGGGCCTACAGCTCTGGAGCAGACAGTAACCACCCCAAGTTGCTCTGGACAATGGCACCCAAGTAAATGCTTGGCCCCTGCTGCTGCCGTTGCCGCTCAGGCTCAGACAGAAGTTCTCAGTCAACCTCACGTTAGGCACTTAGGATGAAAATAGCGGTGACCGAGATGCAGGGCCTGGCTGGTGTAAATGGAACATGTTTCTTTAGCAGCTTCAGAGAGTGCAGGAAGAAACAGAAAGCAATGGAATGGAGCTAAAGCCAGAAGAAGAAAGCAGAGGGAATGAGTGCACCTGAGAGGCGCCGTGTGCTTACCTCGGTGGCCTGAGCTTCCAGGCCAGGGAAGTCGCATGCTGACCTCAGGAGAGCTGCTACCTTCGCCACCTGCAATTTGCCCTCCTCAATTTGCTGCCTGAGGGCACTATAGTCATCAATGTGACCAATAACGTGGCGACCATGCTTATTGGCAAAACAGCCATCAGTAGCATCACCCTCCAGCTTGGGAGTGTCCTTCCTTAAAGGAGAAGTACACAAACTCAGCTCTGGAAAGGAAACACAAGATCACAGGATCCACTATTATTATCCACGGTGACTTCCTCACTTCATTGCAAAAAAACAGTGGCAGAGACCAGGACAAGAAAGGCAACCTTAAAAGTACAAATGGGTGTTTGGCACAGAAGTTCAGATGCCACGTGACATATGTCTGCATTTCAATCAGAGTGGCTAGGTTTAAGCCTCAGATTCCTACTAATTCATAGCCTGAGATGCAGCAGATAATGGTTCAAGTACTTAGAAGACCCAAATAGGATTCCGAACTTCAGGCTTCAGCTTGCCTGGCCCTAGCTGTTGCAGGATTTGGCAAGTGAACCGGTGCCTGGAAGATCTCTCTGTTACAAAGAATGGAGATACTGCCAGGCAAAGAAGACACAAAGGACAGTAGGAAACCGTAGGATGAAGAACAATGGATGAAAGAATGGAACAAAATGTGTAATGAGTAGGATTGAAGGCCTTGGGAGACACACAGAGAGAAATGTCTAAGCTGAGATAACCTCTGTATAGATGACCAGGGCTGTTTGCACAATATTTTTCCTATGTGGTCTCTGATCCCCTTGCTGGCTACACTTACCATCTCTCCTACTGAAGATGACAGTTTCTGATCCAGGAGTGGAGGAACAGGAGCTGGGGAAGTCCATGACTGGGGGATTCATGCCAACATCCCGAACTGGAGGGGAAGCAGTTGAGTCTAGGGGACAAAGACAATCACAGTTTTCAGGAACCCAGACATGCCCCGCGGGAGAGCTAAGACAGCATGACTGAGATCCGTGACCTCTTGCATAACTATCCTTCAGATCCCACACTCAAAAGCAAGAACCAAGTACCTTCAATGCCTTGAGGCCAAATACAAAAAACATATATCTATAAAGTATAGTTTGTACTTATGATAAAATATGGATCAAAGAATGAGTGGATTTATGGGGAGTTAAATCCAACAGACCACCAATGAGTCTGCTGAGTTAGTACGGGTGGAATGTTGCATTGTAGGGGAAGAAAAGAAGGATCTTTGGGCTAAGGACACCCTAGTAGAGGCCAGGAAACAGCCCCACCATGAGGAAACCGGAAAGTGTCAGAAAGAGGACAGAGCCTGTTTCCCAAGAAGGAACAAGTTTTGAGCCCCTGGATCTGTGCCATGGCAGGTGTATGGGAGCCATGAGAGCGAAAAGCCTGATTGGAGGAGAAGACATGACTGAGTGCTATAACCATCATGGCAGTCCCAGACGGCAAGGCAGCCATCCCAGGGGCACTACGCAGTTCCTGTGGACCAGGAGCTGTACTGGACAGCTCACACATATTCACTACCTAACAACCAACATGATCATTCTATTGTCATCTTCATTTGGCAGATAAAGGGCACCTGTCTGATATATAAGAACCCAGCACAACTGGAGAAAACGAGGACTCTCTTGACCCACAGATGGTAGACACAGGGGTCCGAGAGCCCGGGCAGAAGTTGTTCTTGATTAGGATCCCGTGGAGGACATACCCATGGAGGTGGTAAACTGCATGGAACCCCCAAAAGAAAGACAGGAAGGGAAGTGGGGAAAGGAACACACTTGACATTAGTATGAGACTGTTGTAAATGAGATTGAGAGGGAGAGGTCCAGTTAGCTCGCCTGTCTGGAAAGGCAGGCAGCAGCCAGGGCAGAAGTGGACTTCTGTCCCCTGGACTAAGCAGGTCCTCCACACAGGGTTTCCTCACATCCTTGCTTTCCTTAGGGACAGAGCTTCTGCCACATGCTGAATTCCCCATATATGAAAGACAGAGAAGCTAGTCTAGGCAAGGGAAACTGGGGTGACTGAGTTAGAACCTGCTGAGATGGAAGGAACAGAGATACCGAGATAGCTGGTCCTAATGTTGCTTGTGTCTCTAACACCTGTGAACCCCCACCTGTTTGCTAAAGTCTCAGGCCTTGCGTTTCCCATGGGAACTACACAGATGGTAAATCCTTTCCTACTTTGATAAAATTATGCGAGGATCCCTCAAAAAAAGTGTGTGGGAAAATGAAATTAAAAGTTTTGATACAAGTAGGCATACAGCCTCATGGTTAAGACGCCCACATTGAACGTCAGAGACCCTGAGTATGATTCCTGCCCCGGCTCCCGACCCAGCTTTCTGCTAATGCAGCTCAGATGGCTCAGGAGTTTGGGCCCCAGTCATCCAAGGGGAATCTGGATTCACGGCTTCAGTCCTGATCCAGCACCAGTTGCTGGGGCCTCTGGGGGGTAAACCAGCAGAGGGGAGCCCTCTCTGCCTTCTTTCCTGCCTCTCTGTTCCTTTGCCTCTAAAATAAGAAATTAAAATTTTAAACAAATTTTTAAAAATGTATGATCATTATGGTGCAAATATTTGAAATCCATCAAAGTTTTTTTGTAATATATATATTTTTATTGAAATTTTAAAGGATCCTTATGTGTCTGGAAATACGTGATACTTTTAAAGCACTTCTCAGATACAGAACAGGGACAGATGGTAACATATACAGTTGTTAATTATTGAGAAATTCTTATTGTACCAGGCCCTTGTAAAGTATTTCATTTAATGGCCCAAGTAGCTATAGAACATGCATATTATGATTATGCCCATGGAAAAAAAATAAGAAAACTACAGCTTGAATACCTGAGAGTTTAAACACCACACCCAAAGCAACCAATCTGGGTTTGGCAAACTCAGAACCAGGTCTAACCTAAATCCCATATTCTCTCTTAAATGCTGTCATCGCCTGTTTCAGCCTGACCGTAAGGGGGCGCCATAGAGTCAGGATTGCCCTCTTTGTATTGTACACACAAATAGAGTGCCCACTTGATGAGGACCTCCTAACTGCTCTTCAGTCCTACCTTGGAAGATGGGCTGCTTGTTTCCAGGGTCAGTGCTGGTGGTGAAGCTCTGGCTCATGGAGCAGGCACCAGGGCTGGCTTTGCCAACACCACCCTCCAATTGCAGCTCCAGCTGCAGCCGCAGACAGTTGTTCACCTGGATGCTTTGCTCCAGCTGCCCTCTCAGAACTCGGATCTCTGCCACCAGGCAACTCAAGTCACTGCTCAGAGGGGCCTGGTGGCAGGCATCCAGACCAAAAGCTAGAAGGAGAAAAAAGGACACTGAGCCAAGAACACACAAGCACTTGCTGGAACACTGCTCTGTGACAGTCCTTTCTGCTAAGGACCCCATTGTAATTCTCAGAGTCACAGCTGCCACACAGGCCAACGCGTCAATTCTAGAGATGTCATCATCTCTGGGTGGGGTCTGCAGCACACTGAGACGGCACAAGTCCAGTCTGAAATTTCCCGAAGATTCCAATAGCCCGAAGACATTCAGAGGACATGACATTGGCAGACAAAACCAAGCTTATTCCTTCATCTCCACGTTAACCCGAGTCCTGCTGGCCAGAGAGCAGGGTCCTCCAACGCAGGAGGTCAACAGGGAACTATGCAAGGGCAGGGCCTGAAGTGGACAGGGAGTTGATGATCTCTGTGCTCAGAAATCAAAGAGGAGAAGGAAGAGGAATGCTTCGGAACTGTGGTGGCAATGACGAATCAGAGCCCAGCTCTTAGAGCAAGGATCTTAAGCTCTTCCATGATTTTTAACCTCCACTCACCACTTACCATTTTACATTCTAGTGTCAAGAGACCTAAGACATACTCTTCAAGTTCACAATCTCGCAGGGAAAATTCTTCAGGCCAAACACATTTCAAAGAGGTAGAACGATGTGCTTCATAGCAAGGCAACAGGACCTACAGTTCATGTTCACCCTGAGCTACTTGGACCCACCTGCATCGGAGCCACACTCTTAGACAAACACATTCACTTTTGCAGAGAACAGTGTGAATATTCTTGCTACATTAATAAACAGACTGTGAATATTCTCTTGCCACTTCAGTTAGGTTTTGACACTAAATCTTTAAATCCGGAGAGCTTACTGGATGTGGGAATTGAAAATAAGAGATTTTGGAGGCTAAGATGCCAGGAAAGTGGTTCAGAGTGAAGCTGTTTCAGGGTCCCACGATCTTCAGTCTGGCCCTTCCTTTCCTATATTCACCAAGTTTTGCTTCTAGTTTGTTTGAAACATTTTTCCTCTGCTCATTCCCTTCTATCCACCCAGTCCATTACATCAGACTCCCTTCTTTAAATGGCCACCAAATAGGCTCCTGGGACGCTAATACCTCCCAGTTCCAGTATGTTCCACTAGATGTGGTATTTGAAATTTCTGTTTTCATCTTACACTTGCTTTTCTTTAAAAAAAAAAAAACTTTTATGATCTAGTACATAACACACTATTATCTTCATTTATCTGCTTTCTATCATACTGTTCACCTCCGTTCTGCTAACCTGATTTCTCACTCCCACTGACATTAAGTGTCCTCTACAGACCCAACACTCATCCTGACTTTGTAGTTCAACTTTCCTCTCGGCCTGATGAACCCTTAGAATTCTTTAAGTTCTAGTGTAACTTCTCTTGAAAAATATTTGGAAAACAATCAAGCTTTAGGAAGATTAAAATTTGGCTGAAGAGAGAAAACCTAATCTGAATTTCACTCCCTTGCACCCACCATATATCAGCTCGTCTTCACCTGGCAGTTCTTCCAACATGGGAGGCCAGTTCTTGCCTCCTTGTGATTTTTCCAATGCCCAAATTCCTTTATATTTTCCAATCAGCTCAGGATTTCTGGACACACACCATCACAGCCCCTGACTTCATGACATTCCCAGTTTTTCAGTGCCCCCCTTCCAAGAGGGGTTCAGCAATCTAACAAGGGGACATTCCACTTACACTATCATGTGGTCTCAAGCCGAGTTACCCACCCTTGACTAAGTGTCTCCCGTGTACTCAGGTTTGTAGCTGACTTCCTCTTCCTAAAGCCCCTGAATGGGCACAGGGCCAGGCCTCGGGAGTCCATCTGCTTAGCACAGATACTTGACCAAGCTCAGGATTCTGCTTAAATTTTTGCTAAATTTCATCACCCCTCTGTTCCAGCTCACTGTGATGTATGATACGATGTTTCAATTACCTTTCTCCACTTGAGGGATGGGAAACACACCCAAATTCTCAACTGCTGAAATATGATTTTAGCAAGGTAGGAAAATCTTCAATAAAAGAACTTTACATCTAAACCTAAGCTTAGACTCATTTTTAGTGGTATCTTTGTCTTTGTTTCTGGGTTGTCAATGTATGCTATTTATAATATTCAAGATCTTTTTAAACAATGGCAAAAGTGGTACAATCTAGATATTGCTTAACTTGTATCAAGTCATATAAGTGATTAAAGTTTAGAGGAAGGAGGGTGGGAGGGGAGAGGCGGGGGTGGGAATATTATTATGGTCTTAGAGTTATATCTACAAACCACATTGAATCTTTTTTTGAAAAAAATAATTAAAAAGTATTTTTTTTACAAACTTTGACTCCTGTGGTCCATTTTTAAGGATGCCCCCAATAAGCTTACCCCTGACAAGGAGGAGGGGGCACACATACCTTTCAGCCCCCTCTTCGAATTGCTGTGAAGTGCTTCATAGATCTGTAGCTCCGACTGGAGGCTCTGAAACAGCTGCTGCTTCTCCTCACACTGCTGCTGCAGGAGGGCCAGCTTGTGCTGCAGCCTGCCGGGTGAAGGGCAAGGGTCAGCCGGACGGAGGGGCCACTGGGTCATGCCAGGACAATAAGCTGGCAGCCAACATTTGTATTGCAGCGTTGGCCCCAAATATCAACTCAGGGACCAGGAGGCCATGTTATAGACGTGAATCAGACACGAGAAGTAGCAAGGTGACTTGGCTGGATGTCACACCATCAGGCACATTAGGCACACAGTGTTGATGCTGCTCCCTGTTTTCATGCACTTCCTGTTTTCAAGCACTTGTAGGACTTGTGTGGGAGACAAGCATCACCCAAACCCGAGCTGATTTAGAAGCTCTAGGACACAATGTCCTAGATCTCACAGGAAGCATGAGAAGGCTTTCTCCTGTCTCTGATATATGAAAGCCTCTGTAACAGAGTTTCACTCTCTCCACTTGGCCATTTTAAAAATACTTCTCTGAGAAGTCCTTGCTTCTGCTCATAGTCAGGGACAGCTAAAGAAAAACGGCAGCCGTCTTCCCTACTAACAGGCATCCCCTTACCTGGAGTCCTTTTCCTGCAGGGACAGACGTTCCTCCCTGAAATGCAAGATCTCCTGCTGCTTCTCCCGCAGGTCTCCCAAGAGCTGCTGCCTCTCCACTTTCTGGTGCTCCAGCTCCTTCTCCAGCTCTTGCAGTCGGGATCGGGAGGACAGCAGAGCCTCCCTCAGGCATTCTGTTTCCTGGGAGTGCTCTGGTGGGCAGAACAGTGAGGGTTTACATGCCAGGGAGAAAGCTCCACAGGAAGAGAAGCCCAAGCACACTGCTCCTGACAAACAGGACTAAGACCAGGAAGGCAGGCCCCTGTGCTGGTGTTGGCTGACTATAACCATCTACCCTGGGAGGCAGTGCAGTCCATCCTTGCAATGTCCTTGATCCATGACTTTCTATGGCCTCTGCTGCTCCAGAGAAAACACTCAGGTCTCCAATATTCACCATTTTCCATGTACCAGCATAGCATCTGTTTCATAAGCTACACTTAAACTTTGCAAAAGATCAACATCAAGATTTGCCTGTGAGTTTTAAGGTATTTCATCAGCTTAAATATTGGGTTATTTGCACTTTTCTGGGCTTCTGGTATCTTTATGATCACAAATTCACAAACATAATCAGTAGACACTTTTGAGAGTAAGGCTGTAGGATATACCTTTCCTCTAGGAAATGAAACTCCAGGACTCAAAAAATCGTACTAATTTAAATCAGTCATTATCTTGTCACCCAAGAGGTCTTTTCTAGAAATCTTCACAAGTATGCAATAGGATTATGCTAATTTGGCCTTCTATTAACTTCCATTACTTTTCCCACAAATGGCCTTTCTGTCCATATTTTCTTGCTCTGAGATGACTAATTCAGAAATATCTCCTGATGTATTTTTCCTCCACCATTCCTTCATTCTAGGATTAACCCTTACAGATATGCTTGGTCTTTTCTTAGAACAACTTTTCAATAAATATCTGTAAATAAATAAAAACGTTATTGATAAAAATTGACTTCAACAAGTCAAGTAACACTAAGTTCAGCTGCCTCCTTGCCACTTGGGAAATAACACCACCTATGGATGCTTATTTAATGGGGCCTGGAGATTTCTGGAGAACATTTGCTAGTACCTCTCAACACAGAATGACAGGGGTACTGACTGAAGAGGAATCATGGGTGTAGGAGTGAGGGGAGGTGAGGAGGAGGCGTAGGCATGGCAAGGTAGGAGGGACACACAGAGCTGTGGAAAGTTCAGAGAGACTTGTGACAGGAAGTAAGTTTTCATATTTCTTCCTTTCCCAGTTCCAAATCAGCTGTAAGGTATGGAGGAGGGAGAAGGGTGTAGAATTGATACCAAACTGAGAGCAGTGGGCTAGCCAGTGATGATAGGTATACATAGATGGCCTTTATAGAAGTGATAGGTTTCCTAGAGCCATTTGCCTCTGGAAGTTCAAGGGCCCTTGGTTAAAATCTTTCCTGAAGCAGCCAGTTCTAGACTGAGAAGAGCTATGGGAATTTGGGATTGGTGGGTTTGGGCAGCTCTTTTATCTCAGCCCTCCTCTCTCCACTTCTCTCTTTGGTGATTGGTGTAGCCAGGGAAGAAATGGACCCAAGGACGACCACAGTGTGCGTTTGGATCACTCACCTCTAGACACATGGCTCAGCTGGGCCTGAAGGCTCCGATTTTCTTCCCTGAGGACTTTGTTCTCATTGTAGAGCTGAGGAATGGATTCCAGGCCTTGGCCACAGAAATTTGAGGTGGATCCTGTACCCAAAAGCATACACATTGCGGTAACATATGCTTTCAAGAAATTCCCCACTCTATATATCCCAAAGATACTATCCCAACTCTGCAGAAGACTCTGGGGACCAATGACATGGAACTGAATAAAACATAAGGATCAAGTGCTTGGGTTTCTGTGCGCCTCGTGTTAGTGGGTTTTCTGATGCATTATCGCATGTCACAGCTGTGAGTGCACTGTAGATCCTTTCTCCCTAAGTAGTTGCTGTTGTCATATGGGCAGGATAATGGTGTACAGAAGGGATGGTCTCCAAGTGACCATAACTCAGATGGAGAGTGTGAGCAGAAAGGCAACTATAGTGAAGTGACTAGGGGAGGATGCTCGGGGACCACTCTCTATCACTTGCCAATCACATGGAAAATGACATGAAGAGTTAATTTGCTGATAATGTAAACAAAACTAATAGACACTCAGCTAGTCTAATTGGAAAAAAAAAAACTAGAAAAAAGACCAAATAAGTAAAAGCAAAGATGACAAAATAAATATTACAACTGATACCACAGAAATGCAAAGGATCATCAGCAACTACGGTGGACAATAGAATGCCAAGCAACAAAAATCCAGAAGAAATAGGTAAGTTTATAGACACATACAATTTATGAAAATCCTGCACAGATTAAGAACAAGGAATGCGTCTGTATCAAGAAAGAAAGGCCTCCAAACAAAGAAAAGCCCAGAAGTGGCTTGCTTCACTGCAATTTCAGAAACAAAAAATTCTTCTCAAACTATTAAAAAAATTTGGAAGAGTGGAAATCCTTCTAAACACAGTCTATGAGGCCAATACTACCTTGAAGTCAAAACCAAACAAGGACACAACAAAGCAAAAAACTACAGAACAATGTCCCCAATGCACATAGATGCAAACATTACTCAATAAGAAATTAGCAAATTATATCCAATAGCACATCACAAAGATCATCTACCCTGATCAACAGGGATTTATGCCAGGGTTGTGTGGACTGCCCAACATGCACAAGCCAATAATTGTAACATCACATTAATAGAACGAAAGATAAAACTCATATGGCTAACTCACAGACACAGACAAACTATATGATTCGATATCTGTTCAGGATAAAAGATGTTCTACCTTTGCTTATATGTATGATGCCATGAAACAAACAGCAAAAAGTTAAACTTGTAACTATCACTAAGGGACTATACCACTGCAGTAATATGGCGGGGGGGTATGGTACGAGAAGAAATCGGGGAGGGTGAGAGGAATCCCTACACATATCATAGAAAAGCATAATAATGAGTTTTAAAAGAGGAAAAAAATAAAAATCTTGAACAAATTGGGTATAAAAGGAACATATTTCAATGTAATAAATGATATCTTTGAAAAATCCATAGAGAGAACATCACATTGAATGGAGAGAAATCGGAAGCATTTCCTCTAAGATCAGAAACCAGGAAATGATGTCTGCTCTCACTACTCTTACCCAACGTAGTACCAGAAGCTTTAGCTAAAATAATTAAGCAAGAGAAAACTTAGAAACAGGAAAAGCTAACTTATTCTGATGTGGAAATGACACGATTCTATACAAAGACTATTAGAACTGCTAAAACGATTCATTAAAGTTGCAGGATTTGAAATTAACACCCAGATCTTAGTGGCAGCTTTCATAGCAATAATAAACTCACTGAGAAAGAAATGACAACAGTTCTCACAAAAACTATGAAATACCTTAAGATAAATTTAACCAAATACATGAAAAACTTCAGTATGAAAAACTTTTATAAAAAGCTAATGAAAAAAATTGACCCCTCTCCCAACAAAACCAGAAAGATTTCCAACATTCATAGAATGGAAGACTTAATCATATTAAAAGTCTACACTTCCACGCATTTTACAGATTCCCTGTATCTCTATCAAAATATCATTGACATCTTTCAAAGAACTAGAAAATAATCTTAAAGTTCATACTGAAACACAAAAAGCCTCCCTCCCCCGCACCCCAATTAGACAGTCATTTTGAGCAAAAAGAACAAATCTGGGTTATCAAGTATCTGAAATCCTACAGAGTTGTGATAACCAAAGTAGCAGGATATTGTCATGAAAATGGGCAGCACTGATTAGTGATACAGAACAGAAATCCTAGAAAGGCATCTATGCAGCTAGAATACCTGACTCTCTCTGCCCTTCCCTAAAAAGGCATCAAAACATACACTGGGGAAAAGAACCTCTCCAATAAATGATGCTGGGAGAATCCAATACACATGCACAGAAGGTTCAAACCTGACCGCTATCTCTCACCTTTAAAAAAAAAATCAACACAAAATGGATCAAAGATCTAAACGGAAAAATCTGAAACAATAACATAGTAGGAGGACATACAGAGAAAACACCTCAGGACCTTGTTGCATACAACAAATTTCTGGACAAGATCACTAAAACTGGACCAGGGGTATTAAATCCAACTGAAAAACTGCTATACAGCCAAGGAAGCAACTGTCAGAGTGAAGAAATGACCAATAAGATGACAAAAAATATTCTCAAGCTTTTCATCTAACAAAAAGTTACTAAAATGCCAGAATGTATGAAGAACTCAACAAACTCAAAGCCAACAACATCAAAACAGCCAATCATATCACAAAGGGCACAGAGAATCAGCATGAGAATGAATGCAGGTGAAAGGGAGTGAACAAAAACCAAGATCTGGGCTTCCCTACCACTGCCACGGGTGGTGGAGCTAAGCCTGTGTTCCAGCTGCTCCCGCAAGCGGTCATTAATGCAGATAGACTCCTCCAAACGCTGGCGTAGGTTCCGAATTTCACCAAGATGCTCTTCCAGTAGATCAGCCCCTGTAGGCATTTCACCAGGACACAGACAAAAGTGGAATTAGAGCGTACTGATTATCAACAGATATGCAAGGGTGGGCATGGCCAGCAGCCCCTCAACAAGATCCTAAAACATCACCATCCTTCTGCCAACCCGCCTGGTCAGACAGGTACCTAGGGGACCCAGGAAACTTTATTCAAAAGTAAGTAGGCAAGGCCCAGTGTGATGCTCAATTGGTTAATCCTTCTTGCAAGCACTGGGATACCCTATGGTACCGGTTTGTGTCCTGTCTGCTCCATTTCCCTTTCAGTCCCATGCTTGTGGCCTGGGAAACTAGTAGAGGATGGCCCAAAGCCTTGGGACCCTGCATCCAAGTAAGGAGACCCAGAAGAGGCTCATGGCTCCTGGCATCAGATAACTCAGCTATTGCAGCCACTGGGGAGCAAACCAGAGGATGGAAGACCTTTTTCTCTGTCTCTCATTTTCTCTATAAATCTGACTTTCCGATAAAAATAAATACTTAAAGACACAAAAAGAATAAATGGGCTTTCTTAACCACTGCACCATCGCGCTGGGTCCTTTTTTTTAAATTAATTAATTAATTTTTTTAGATGGGCTTTCTAAGACAGTATCCTACTAAAGAAATCACTACCACAGAACTGCCTGGTATGTGAAAGGGAGTTCTAGACATTTTAGAAAAGATACTAAAGGCTTCAGAAATCATGATCACCTCCTGGATGTGACTTTGAAAATGAAAGGAAAGGCCTCACCAAACTATCTCCTAAAACTCCCTTTGTTCCTTTCTCTTTTAAAAATTTATTTATTTTTATTGGAATGTCAGATTTACAGAGAGAAGGAGACAGAAAGAAAGATCTTCCATCCACTGATTCACTACCCAAACGGCCACAACAGCCAGAGCTGAGCCAATCCAAAATAGGGAGACCGGATCTTCTTCCAGGTATCCCATGTGGGTACAGAGTCCCAATCTTTGGGCCATCCTCTACTGCTTTCCCAGACCACAAGTAAGGAATTTGACAAGTAGTGGAGCAGCCAGGACATGAACCAGCACCAATGCAAGCACTGAGCCACTGAGCCATTGTGCCAGGCCAATGGGCACAATGGATATGTGACTGAACATTCTTTAGCAAAGGACAAAGTCCTTCCTCCCATCCTCTGATGGAAAGCTTAAAGTAAAAGTACATGACCTTCAACTCATCTTGTGTGGACAACAGTGTTTACTGAATGTTTTCCTCACGTCACTTTTAACAAGGCAGGAATAATGCACAGTGTGCATGGGTCTGAGGAATCCACAGGTGCATCAGGGGAGGGAGAAGCACCTCTAGGAAAGACACAGAAAAGCAGGGTGCTAACAGCACATCACAACCACTACGTCCATTGCTTGAGTTTGGCCAGTCTTTTTGCAAAGCTTATTACTGTCTTTCTTTTGAGGCTGTTGTGCTCCAGCATTCACCTGCTTACTAAATTCACCAATCTGATACAATTGGGTTTATGTGCAAGGCACAGGTTGTTACATATTTTTATTACAACGCCTGCGTGCTGGAAGACCTGTGAATGTCTGTGTCCAGATTTCTGGAAGAATCTAACAGAGTGGTCAGGGTGAAAAGGGAAGGGACATAAACATGAGAGCACAGAGGCAGGTCCCTGGTTTTCCCTTGTCCTTGCAGAGCACCGCGGCAAGAGAAATGAAGGCTGCATGCAGAGAGGATCATGTGTACAAGCAGCCCTTTCCTTTCATACTCTCTATGGGACCTCAAAACTGGAGGGACCATGAAAAATTCTGGTGAGAATGTCAGATTCCAAATGAGATTTCAGAGGCTGTCCCACTTGGTGCTTTACCTGTGGGTTTGGAGTGAAGCTGGAATAAAGATGAGCCTGAGGACAGGTCCCCAGACATACTCCCCTTCTGAGGTCTCATCATGTCCCACTGGCCATGGCTGCCCAGGTACCCAGGCTCCAGAATTCTGCCCAGCTCTATGGTGCCCCTTGCAGGAGACTGGGGCTGAGCAGGGCTGAGGAAGAGGGAAGAGCTGGCATCCAAATGGTTGCTTGGCAATGGAGCTCTGGAGGAAGGTGGGACAGTGCTAACACCTGGGAAGAAAGAAACATGAGTTAGAGACACAGGAAAGAAGCAACACTGACACATGCATTGCCTAAGAATGAAGACTAACTAGGGTCCCATGGGATGTCAGAGATCCTAGGCCAATGCAGGAGACCTTGTAAATGAACATGCATAACCTAGAGGCTATAGAATTTACTGTTTGTATTTCTTAGCATGAGATACAAAGAAATAGCGGACGAATCAAGCGTCTAGGGTACAGAAAGGGAAAGTCCAGAGACCTTCCTCTACTATTACTGTAATTCCCCATAATAGGATACAGGGAAATGCCAGCAGCAGAACTGACTTGCATAGTTAGGTTCCCTGGGATGAGGTGCAGGATGGAGCACAGTGAGACATTCTATGGACAGGACTAGTTTATCTCCAAGTACTTTCCTTGCCAGAAGCCAATCATCTTACCATTTCTACTCAAGAGTTTTCAGAGGAGAAAACAGACATGAAGTCCTGCTGCAAGTGGTGAAGAACTCTTTTCTGAGGTTGAAAAAGTTTCTACATGAGGTAATGGAGAAGGGTCCTATCCTCTAGGAGTCAAACAGCTTCAAATATCATTTTTTGGCCAAAGGATCGCTAAACATTATCCCAAGTGGGGAGGTGGAACCCTTCATTTTATTAGCTAATTCTGTCATTGATCATATGAAATCAAAGACTTTCCCCTCAATCCCCATAATCTTTGGGTCTATATTTAAAAAAAGAAAGAAAGAAAGAAAGAGGAAGCAGCAGCCCAGCATGAGGGAGGGACACGGAAAGAGAAAAAGACAAGACTGCAACTCGGGGGAAAAAATTAGAAATCTGTTTCTTTCAGGGATTATGAACATGGACTGCAACGTAGACACGCAGCTTCCCCTGAGCAAACCAAACTTCTCCGAAGAGTAAAATGAAACTACCACTATCAATTTTCATCCCTATCTGTAACTGCTTCTCAGATGTGGTCACACAGCAGAATAAATGAGAAGATATAAAATACGTGCTAACACTGTGATGCCCAGAGTTGCACTTGGTGGGTAAGGGATAAATCTTGAGCACTGAATGGCTTAGAATTCATGCCAGATAAATCTGATAGGCAATAAAGTTTGAGAAGCATTCTCACGGTTTTCTCCAGTCCCAATTTATAAAATTCTAGATCCTTATTAGCATCATGGAAGTTAAAGAGCAACTGAAACTACAAGCACCAACATTTTAACAGGAATCAAAGACAAGATTTTCTACCTTTTTCACACCCTATTCAATGCTGCCCCAACAAACGATAAAAGAGAGCACTAGTAGTTGTAGATCAAGGCCATGGGAAGGTTCTAATCCGCCAGTAACAACGATTACCATTCCCATGTTCCAGTGTCCTTAGATGCCCAGTCCAGAGCATAAGCCCTCAACCATGCAAAACAATCATGCAGACACTTGAACAAGAAGAGATTAGTTCCACTGCAACCCGAGAAGCTGCCATGCACCACTGTCCACGAGGACAATTTATTCACAGAAAACAATGATCAAAGTGATGGTTCCTTAGAGAGCATTTGACATGTAAGCACAGAAAGAATCTACAACTTCCTCACAAATGCCGGCACCAGCCACATTCTAAGTTAATAGCCTCATGCCAGCTAAGACTCCAATTCCACCCACAACCACAGACTCCTGCATGCACAGCGCTTCCCTGCATCTTTTCCTATCGACAAAAACATGTTGACAAACACGGGAAGATAAAGAAAAAGGGTGTGAAGTAAAGAAATGTAAGCTACCAAATACTCTTGACATTTGGGCATAGGATACACTGGTTCCCCATCAGTTGTTGGTGCCAGAACTATTAAAGTAACAGGTTTTAGGTTGAAACACCAGCACCTCCCATTGGTCTCCAATGGGAAAGAAAAGGCTGCTGTGAGCTATCTCAAGAGGTTTCGTTTTGTTTTGTTTTCAGCTGAGTTCAGTCCCACACGCTGGGCAGGACAGTAGTACATCCACCTAAACAGAAAGAGCATAACAGAAACATCAAACCTGAAGCAGAAGACTGGGTTCCACTCCATGTCACTCACTTGCTTGAGACATTTAATGAGTGACTGCACTCCCCTCAGTCTTGGGACCCTTCCTTGGTGCAATTTAGCACTTCAGAGTTTAAGGAGGCTCAAGTAGGACACAAGTCACAGGTGCTGACAGGTAAACCCTAAACAGCTCCACCTGTGTAAAGCTAATAAACAGAAGAGTTTGCCTACAGCCTGGAGAGACTCTTCTGAAAATGGTCATGTTTTAGCTAGCTCTAGAAACTCACCTAGGAACATACTACATCAAGTAGCCATTTTCAGGCTTTACAAAAGTAAGAGTCTTATTTAAATGACATTTGGGGCTTCAGTGTTACAAACTCTTGGCTGCGGTATGGGTCACAATATACCCTTGTCATCAATCTCTAGCTCATCCAAGCTCCTTTCACAGCACAAAATATGGTTCAGAGACTATTTGTGCTGATTTCTAAATTCTTTTAAAGCACCACTGTAAATTCATCATACGAGCTTTTCTCCCACTAACCTTGTAAGTAATCACACACAAAAATATGACGGGGCACCATCCACAAAATACATGGAGTGCTCTCCTAAAATATTATTGTTGCATCTGTTAATCACATGACTGTATAAAATCCTCTCTCTCTGGCCATCAGAGAACAGAATTTACACTCGGACTTCACAGCCATTGGGAGTGGCTCTAGACATCCATAAATCACCTGTCTTGGGGCTGGAGTCAACCCTGTACAATACGAAAAAGGGCTCTGTCGCATTCATTCTGATTCCCTCTACCACCACCTTCCTCCCCCCCCAAAATCAGTGATTTGGGAACTGAACTTGATTTTTGCAGGAGGAGGATATGGCAGCCACATAAAGGAGTCTACTCCATGTAGCTATACTTGTCATGGCCATGTTATCCTGCATGGCATGAAGTCTCTTTCAGACCCCAGCAGTAAGCGCCTCTCCAGTCTGTCAGGGATCCAGAATCCTTGTGGTACTGTGAACACTGAGCAAGCACCAGGTCTAGAACTTCTGGAACATGTGTACCTTATAACTGATTAGCACAAGACACACATGCCAAAGATCACAGAAAATGCATTTTCCAAAAAGCGAGCAAAGCTTTCCCTCGACCTTCCATTTGCAACGCGGACCCCTGCATTGTGTTTTTTAACTGTGCCATCAAGCTAAAGCCATGCAGAGCACCACATCGTGAGGCTGCCTCTTGCAAGCACACCAACACAGCAGTAAGTGCTCACTTTCTCCCAGCTGCTTCTGAAGCATCTGCAGCTCCTGTTGAGCCTCAGCCAAAGAGAGCACCGGTGTCTCACAGCAGCCGAGGGAAGGGCCAAGGGGGCTGAGAGGCAGGAAGCTGGATGGAGCTGAGGGCAGTGGTGCCTGGGGGAGGCTAGCCAACTTGGGCATGGAGTTAAAACAGAAGCCTAGAAATAGAAAGTTAGAGGGGGAGAAAGAAAGGAGATACTCCATTAGAGAGAAAACAAGAGAAGGAAACAGATAAAAGACGGAGAAGGTGAAACCATTTCCTGTCCAGATATCACTTTGAGGAGTGGAGACTGAGACAGTGGTCGCTGCTATCAGAGAGGCTGGGCTGGCTGTTCCTCCATCCTTTTCTCCCCAGACAGAGCTGTCCTGCTGTTCTGTGTTCAGCTTGAAGGCAAATGGCTGCAGTAAGCAAGGGGAGCTAACTGAGCTCTGTCCTAGCAATCCTGGGCCAAGATGGGTTAGCATGGTTGTACCTGAATGTTCTCAAGGGTACCCAAAGTGGATTCTTGTCCTTGTGCCTGGGACAAGAATCTCTTTGCTTTTAGAACTCTTCTGGAAGCATCAGTGCCCACCCTGAGAAGGGCTGCAGTAGACAGAGGCTGTGGGCAAATTTGCTAGTATATGCAGCTCAGGATCCTGTAGGAAACACAACTCAGAATCCAAATTCAATGTGTATATTCATTCACCTACTAAGAAATAGAGAGTTCAGTGGAGTGGCTTAGATACAATGACGGGGCATTCTAATCGATTAGGTAAAACTTAAACACACACAGATTCCTTAGGCTTTAATGCAAAACTGCAGATGTATAAACTCTGGGAATAAACTTGGAAATATGCATTAAAATGTTTTTCCCAGGTGATCTTTAGGTAGCCCATCCGCTGATACATGTTCAGCTCTGGGGCGTTCCAATGTTTGAATCTGTCTCTTCTTTGCTCACAACAGTTCCCAGGGAGCTTTCCCAGGTTGGGAGCAGACACCAAGGCTGATCTGTGGAAACATCTGATGTGTGAGTCAGTGCTTTCATCCATAATTGCAGCTCTTACCCCTTGGTGATGACACCATATAAGACACTTGAGCCAACAGGTAACATCCCAGGCATTATTTGGGAAGGAATTTGGGTTTTAAGATCTCTCTGGGACTGACATCTTGCTTAACTAATCCTCTACTTGCAAGCACTGCCATCCCACATGGGTACTGGTTCATATCCCAGCTGCTCTATTTCCTTCCAGCTCTCTGCATATGGCCTGGGAAAGCAGCAGAGGATGACCCAAAGCCCTGGGCTCCTGAACCCGCATGGGAGACCCAAAAGAGGCTCCTCGCTCCTGGCTTAGGACCAGCGCAGCTCCAGCTATCGCAGTTATTTGGGGAGTGAGCTAGTGGATGGAAGATTTTTCTCTGTCTCTCCTTCTCTCTGTAAATCTTCCTTTCAAATAAAAATAAACAAATCTTTAAAAAAAACTTTTCTTGTCAGTCTTCCTTGCTTAGATGCAAAGCAGGTAACCTGAGGTCTTCAGCTTTAGGAGAACAGCTTTTCCTCCATGGTTTCCTGGTCCACTTTGACCCCAGGACTCTTGAGGTCAGGCTTAGCAAGAGTTGGGACACTTATTATTTTCTTTATTATTTATCTCTGAATTGCCCCAGGGGAGACAAAAGGTAGCCCCGTGCTTCCCGAGAACCTCAACCAGAGTCAACCCTCACCTCAGCCCACACTGAGGGTGCCCAGTGAGTTGCAGCAGGAGGTGACAGTGGAAGAAGACAAGGTTTGTCCTATTCCCACCATATCCCTGCTGCAGAGCTGTGTGTGAGAAATTCAGCCCTGGCAGCCACACTGAGGCAAGAAAGTGAAATGTACTCTTCTGACTACTCCCAGGAGATGCACCATGTACGTCTCCAAGATCACCACTGCATCCATCAGACCATGAATGGTAACACCATCAGAACACAGCTGAGGGCCCTCAGTATGAGGCGGCACCACCTGCTGCAGAGGCGCCCTGCAGACGGAATGGGAAAGCAGGGCAGGAGATCCGCAGGTGTGCATGTCTTTAAGCCCCTTTCACCACTTTATTCCCCTCCCCCACTCCTTGGGTTAAAAGAGAAAAAGGAATGAAACTATTTAAATGATTAGCCAACCAACCATCGGTCAAACCTAGAATGCAGATCGATACCTTCTGTAGATTACTTATTTCCTAAAAAAAGCAAAACCAAACTCAAGAACTTAAAATATTTAAAACAAAAAACAACATGGGGAGTGAGGATGGCCTGTGGATTTGATGCATACGGGACCCTAACAGGCACAAGTCTGGTCCCTGGAAGAAGTCAAAAAGCTGAGAGAAAGATGAAGCTACTATTCCTCTGGCTATTGCATACCTGGCTGGGCCTGGCTGGCCTCCTTTGTGGGACTCTGGGGAGTTGCCAAGCTGATAGGGTTGCTGCTGGATTCGGCCTTAACTCCCTGAGATGCACTGTTGGCTGATGGTTTAGAAGACAATGAAGCAGAATGACTTGAATGATGGATGGAATCTACAAAATCCATGAATGAAAAAAAAAAAAACATTTGGTGGTCTGGAAAGAACTGGCATCTTGGCCTTGTATCTGACCACAGTACCAAGGCTAGAGTCTGGCTACCAGGGAAAGCACCAAGCACAAGCATCATTAGCACCCTTCATTGTCTGGCTCACAGATGGTTCCCTTAGTGAGGCAAACCACCTCAGAGTTGGGCCCCTAACCCTCAAATCATGAGAATAGCCCATCCAGTTACATCAGGAAAGACTGGCCATCTCTGTGGACACCTGAAAATACTCAGGGGATATCACTCATGAACTTCAAGTAGCAAGATTATTTCAAGTGTCATGTTCCACCTAAAAGGTGGTGGTTCATCAAAGAAAAATCTGCAATCATTTCTCCTGCTGCTATTGTCACTCCCAGCAGCACATTTGTGCTGAACACAGGGAGACAGAGTAACTTACAGGACAGAAGCAGACCAAAGATCCTAACCCACTGGAGCCTGTGTTTGCTGCTTGGTGCTCGAGCCATGGTCAGACCAATACACATCATGTGGAGCCTCAAGGCCTGGTTCCCAAGCTCTTCTTTCTTCCTCAATAAAATTGGCACAGCTCTGAAACGCAGAGGCTACCTGAGTGATTGGGTGAAGCTTTCTTCTCTTCATAATGTGTGTATTCGCTAGTAACATCCATGTCTGAGCAGGCTTCCAGCTCATCAGACAGGAAGGAGGTGCTGCTGGGAGAACGATGGGAGTCGGACAAGGCACGGCTGCTGGGGGGCGAGACAGACCGGGCGTCCAGCTTGGCCTGCAGCACCTCAATCACTTTCTCCTTCTCCTGCAGCTCCCTGCTGAGCCTGGTGGGGAAGGAAAAGCAGAAGGTGAAATCAAGGTCATACTGACTAGCCGTGGCCAAAGCTCATGGGAGAATCCTCCTAATGGTTCCTAAGGGGGCCATTCTCATGGGAATGATATAAATAACTTATCTCTAATTAGAGGTGAAGAGTAAGTGGGGTGTGCTTAGAGAGACAACAATTGCTACCCAGTGCACTAACCGTGTAATATGCCATTATATATGATAGACTAAGATATTGCTGTGGAAAGTATATGCCCAGAACAATTGCAGTTTGGGAACCTGTTATCTCCAATAAGACAAGTACAAAAATTATAAGTGGGAATTGAGAAATGTGGAGCTAGCTGCTACTGTTAACAGCACCCAAATGCATAAGTAGAATCATCCAGTTGACTGGACCACACGATAGATGAGAAATCAAAACAAAAGCAACACAATTTGCCCTTCACTGCTGATACTTGTGAGAAGTAGTCATGGGATCTAAGGTATAATCAGGTCACAAAAAATATTGATTACAACTCACTCTAAGCCCCTGCACTCCTGAGCATGCTATGTAGTGACGCACTGAGCTGGTTCCAGGGACATGGTACTCTCCCAAGAATCTGGGAAACACTCAAGGATACAGAAGACTTAAAATCAAGGTTGTTCATTTCATTTTCACTTTTTTTAAAAAAAATAAGGATTACTTTATGGGGGGGGGGGGAATCAGGAGCAATCCTAACAACCTCTTAACAGGAGAAAACATGCACAGAGCAGGGGGGCACCCCAGAGTGGAGCAGGCGGACAAGAGGAGGCTTGTATCCCAACCTTGAAGACTCCCAGATCCTCACCAAGGACTATCAGTACAAGCACCAAGGACTACATCCCAACTGCCAAGGAGACCACGAGGAATTGGAGTGCCTTCGGAGGCCAAGAACTCTGAGGTTGCCCAGCCCCACTTGGATCTACCACATGGGATGGAAGAAGCCCAAATCCTGCCTTGCAGGATCCAAGGTCATCGGAAAGATCATCAGGAGCACTGAGTGGTCCGCAGAAACAGAAGAACAGTAAATTTCCTTTGGGACTAGGGAGGGGAGCTTTCTCTGTCCTACTGGTTTGACTTTGGGTCCCTACCCTCTCTCGTAATGACCATCAGGATCACTCCAGAAACCCCTCAAAACAAACAAACAAACAAAAAATCTAGAATAGATAGACAGAGAACAACAAAGAAAGCCTAGAAACAGATAGGAAAGAGTCAGCGGGGATGCACTTACACCTCACTGGGTGGGACACAAAGATTAGTTACTCCTCACCAGGGTATTGAAGATTTCTCTGCACACCCCTCCTAAAACTGTTCACCTAAACTGTTGACATATGTCTTGTTAGAGTTATTGAGTTAAGACTACCTGAAAAACAGCCAGGTTCAGCAAAATCATGCTTCAACGCTATAAACTGCTAAATACTAAAATTAAAATAGACATGAGACAGCTGAATAGTAATCTATGGCCATTTTAAAGTGTATAGAACCCGGTTGTATATAAACTAATAATTGAAATGTCAATGAAGAAGTCACAGGATGTGGTTCAGAACTTGTATTCTTTTTTTTCTCTCTTTTAACACACTGGTTACTCAGTACCATGTCAACTAATTTCATAACGTTATAAATTGTTACTGATGTAATGTCGGGGCTTTTAATTGATTGGGATGATACTCTGCTGGCTCCACCTTCAGACCAGAGTTAGTCTCCCGAAGAAACCGTTGAACTTATCTGGACAATAAGATGCTGGACTTTATACTTGGTAGATGCTTGCAATGAAAGAATCTTAACTGAATTTGAACTGTGGTAATGCAACAAGGTGGAAGAATCCACCATAGGGGGAGGAGGGTTTGGAGAGGGGCTGGGGAATCCCAGTGCCTATAAAACTGTGTCACATAATGCAATGTAATCAATTAAAAAAAAGGATTACTTTATTCAAAAGTACAGCAGTAGTGAGTAAAACACACACACACACACATCTTCTATTTCCTGACTCATACCCCAACAGCCAGAGCTGGACCAGGCCAAGGTCAAAGTCCAGAAGTCCATTAGAGTCCTACATGGTCATCAGGAACGTATGCACTTTGCCATGGCCCACTGTCTTCTCAGGTGCATTAGCAGGAAGCTGGATCAAAAGCAGAGGTGCTAAGCCCAAACAGGCACTCTGAAATAGGATGCGGGCATTCCAAGTGGGAACCTAACCCACTTTTAGGTCAGATTGCTTCTAGGTTACTAAGCCTGGAGAATTAGTGTACCTATAGATCCAAATCAACTTACAATGAAGGATTTGTGCTAAAAACAACCTCAAGAGGCCTGAAGCAATGGCTCAATTGGCTAATCCTCCCCTTTCAAGTGCCAGGGTCCCATAATGGTGCTAGTTCATATTCCAGCTGTTCCACTTCTCATCCCTGCCTATGGCCTGGGAAAGCAGCAGAGGATGTCCCAAAGCCTTGGGACCCTGCACCCACTTGAAAGACATGGGAGAAGCTCCTGGTTCCTGGGTTCAGTCATTTCAGAAGTGAACCAGTGAATGGAAGATCTTTCTCTCTACTCTCTATAGACCTGCCTTTCCAATAAAAATAAGCAAATCTTTTTAAAAAATCAACTTTCAGGTACTCAATGAATAAAAGATTCACTACACTTGTTACTTTTCTTGTTTCCTCTGGACTTTAAGTTAAAGTCGCCCTTCTCCCCCTGTGCTTGGGTTCTAGTCCCTTTACCAGGTTCAGTTCTGAGTTACCTGAGGGCCAGTGGCTCGAGTTCAGCTTGTTCTTTCTCATTTTTATGATCCTCTGTAAACCAAATGCAGAAAGAAATAATGAGTATGAATACAGGTCCCACTCGACACATCCCCATCCCAGGGCCTCTCCGAACACAGAATAGCGACGTCTTCATGAGTACATCTGGGATGAGCATTCCGGGAGGCCCCAAGTTGTGTTTTCAGAGCAGCTGGCCAGAGAGCTCCCCTGAGCTTGCTAGGCCCATTGTCCCTGATCTGGTTACCACTATCAGAACTTCCTCTGTCCTGACTCAGAACAGAAAGTGACAGTGGTATTTGTCCCATTGACCATGAGGCACTGCACAGCTGCCCTTCTCTCACCTCAGATCACTCCAGTCTTCATGTCCTGCCACAGACTGGCTCTAGGTGGCACAACAGTGTGTCTCTTCATGGCTTTCTTGTAAACCCTGACTTTGTCTCTGAGGGGAAGCCAGACCTTTCTGTCCCAACTCTGCACCTGCCACCAGTAGATGGGCTGGTTGGGCTGAGCTTGCTTACTCCCTAAGATGTTCTCAGGAAACTCTTAAGTAAAGGGCTTGAATAGTTCCCAACATAGTCTTAACAGTTCTAGCCAGTTATCTCCACACTCGATGTACATGCACGTTATTACCATGCAATAAATGAGGAAACACAGACATTGAAAGAAGTCACTATGTTGATGGCAGCATCCAGGCTAGTGCTTGGATTTTGCAATTCAAGGATAACCATATTGTAATAAGGCCCTTGGATCTCATTTCCCTTTCCCCCCATGGAATGGAATGGAATGGAAAGATGGAACAAAATGGAAGGACGCTGCCTACTGCCAAAGGCCATATTCCATGAGTAAGGACATCTCCCTGGTTGTAAATGTGGCAGCTCTAGCCATACATGTTCCTCCTAGCCCCCCACTGGCCAGGTCTGATCCTCTAATAACCACCACCACCACGCCTCCACTCTACCCACCCCCACACATGAAGTGGAAACAGGATGCAGATTATAAAGTTGCTGTGGAGGTACATGTTGAGCACATGGGCTTGGGCTTTGGGGGGTAATCAAGAATATTCTAAAAGCCTATAGTCAACTCACTGGTGCTGAGTTTATTGGTGAGCCTCTCTGTCAGTTGGCTTCCCTGGGCAAGCTGCTCCCGGAAGCTCTGCCCCAGGTAGTAGTCAATGTCATTGCTCCTTAGCAGGTCTTCAAAAGACTTGACGGTATCTTTTGCATGCTGGATGAGAAGGTAACAGATGCCTCTCCCTTCTCGAATTTTTTGCCGAAGGTAGGAGAGTTCTCGAGCCTGATCCTGAATCAGGGAATCATATTTCCTAATGTAGGGAAGCAAAGGAAAGGGATCATAACACCAGAATTCAAGACTTGCAGTGCAATGGCACAGGCTAAGAATTCCAAAAAACAAATCCACACTCCTATAACCAACTTATCTTTAACAAAGGTACTACAAAGCATTGCTTAGACTAAGGAGAGTCTTCTCAATTCAAAAAATTGTGCTGGGAAAATTAGATTTCTATAAGTAAGACAACTGAAACAAGACCCTTACCTTACACCTCACACAAAAATCAACTGAAAACAGATGAATAAATCAACCTAGGACCTGAGACTATAAAACTATTAAAAGAAAGCACGGAGGAGACATTTTAAGATGCTCATGTAGGTAATAATATGTCACACAAAACTCCAAAAACACAGCCAATGAAAGCAAAAATGACACACGGGATTTTGTCAAACCAAGAAGCTTCTTCAAGCAAAAGAAACAATCCAAAGAATGAACAGACAACTAGCAGAATGGGAGAGAATATCTGTGAAGTTTGCAGTAGATAAAAGGTTAATATCCAGGATCTATGAAGAGACCAAGAAAGTCAACAAAGCAAGCACTCCAATTAAGAAATGGACAAAAGATCTAAATAAAAGCTTTTTAAATAAAGAAATACATGTGGACAGCAAACATGTGTTACTTAGTATTAGTATTACTAGCCATCAGGAAAATACAGGAAAAAAAAATCAGTGAAGTACCATCCAGCTCCAGTCAGAATGGCTATTAACGAACGTCAAGCAATAACACACACTGGTGAGACACACAGACAAAGGAATCCTGCACACTGTTAGTAGGAATCTAAATTAGTAGTCACTATGAAAAACAGTATGGGGATTCCTCAAAAAGCTAAAACTGGATCTACATTATGACCTAGCTATACCATTTCTTGTGGGATACTCAAAGAAATGAAGGCAGCATATCAAAGAGATGTCTTCACTCTATGTTTATAGCAGCCTAATTCACAATAGTCAAAATATGGAATCAGCCTAAACACACTCTAGAGGGCGACTAGAAAAAGAGAATGTGGTATTTCAAGACAATGCAATACTATTGAGCCATAAAAAAGAATTAAATCTTGATATTTGCAACAACATACATGGAACCAGAGATCATTATTACGCTAAGAGAAATAAACCAGTCACAAAAAGACAAATACTGTGTGTTTTCTTTCATATGTAGAAGTTAATACATATGCTTATATGTAGTAAAAAAAAAAATGTGAATGTGGGCTGGCGTTGTGGTACAGTGAGTAAAGACACTGCCTGCAATGCCTTCCTGCTAATGGCCTGGGAAGAGCAGCAGAAGGCGGCCTGAGTGTTAGGGCCCCTGAGTCCATATGGGAGACAGGAAGAAATGCCTGGCTCTTGGTTCAGGCCTGGTTTAGCCCTGGATGTTGCAGTGTCTCTTTCTGCCTGTCCTGTCTCTCTGTACTTCTAACTTTCAAATAAATAAATATTTTCAAAAATTTTTAGATGTCATATTATTTGGAATATAAATATTTATAAAACTTGTTTTCGCTGAATTACAGCTGTTATATAATAATGTACATGTCTTTACCCACTTTTTAATTTTTGTCATAAATCCCACATTATATGATATTAACATATCTACCTCTTCTCTCAGGAAAAATCATACATATGTGGGTGCATATAATATTTACCTATGAATGGGAAATAGGAAAATGTTAAAAAACTATTTAGCCTCTGAGTGTTCATTGAATTCTTTTTTTAAAAGATTTATTTATTTATTTTTATTACAAAGTCAGATATACAGAGAGGAGGAGAGACAGAGAGGAAGATCTTCCATCTGATGATTCACTCCCCAAGTGAGCACAACGGCCAGTGCTGTGCCAATCCGGAGCCAGGAGCCAGGAACTTCCTCCAGGTCTCCCACAAGGGTGCAAGATCCCAAAGCATCGGGCCGTCCTCAACTGCTTTCCCAGGCCATAAGCAGGGAGCTGGGTGGGGAGTGCAGCTGCTGGGATTAGAACCGGTGCCCATATGGGATCCCGGCATGTTCAAGGGGAGGACTTTCAGCTGCTAGGCCATGGCACTGGGCCCCATTGAATTCTTTATACTCTTCTGTATTATTTGAAGAATTTTAAAAGAAGAATTTTTTAAAAGAAAAAAGTGGGTAAGAGTGAGTGATACAGGGTGGAGCTTCCGTGGAGAATATTCTGAGAATATCCTGATGGAACTCCCCAGCACTGAATTCAGAAAAGGCATAGGGAGTATTTAAGAGTAAATTCTGCTCTGCAAACCTACTGCAGAAAAATGACCAAACAAAAGACAAACCAACAAATTATACTCCCTGCATCTCATCTGTTTTTGTGAGCTAGTCAAACTCGAAATCCATGTTAGTCCAATATGTGTTAGTGAAATGTCCACAAATCAATGGTACATTCTGTGAGGGCAGACAGTGCCTAAACAGTCTACGCTGTACCTTCCCCTGCGCTGTATTGCCTGGCCTGTCATTCTACTAATAAATGTATATCAAGCACCAATACAGACATCCTCCACCAAGGCAACGCCTGCCCTCCTTACCCTGGCCACGAGGCCGACCTCAGCTCCTCCGCCAGTCTCCCTTCCAGGCCGGTCTTGGGCAGCTGTGCCTCCAGCTGTGCCACCCTCTGGATGAGTCGCTCCAGATCCTTTTTGGCCTGAATCCCTGGTGGGTAGAAAGCCCCAGTGCCATCGGACAGCCAGCCCTCATCCTCATCAGTGACACTACGAGGTGAAGATCCTTCAAGGTCACCAACAGCCCTCAGCTTCCGGGGTCTTTCCAGGCTCGATGAGTAATCGCTTGTAACGGATAGGGATCGGACTCGGCTCTTGAGGCTTTGGATGACCTTGTTGGCACTCTGCAGCTGGGCTTTCAGATCCATGATGTCCTTCTGCAGGGCTGAGATGTCCTCTGCTTGCCCCTGAGCTTGCAATTCCTGCTGCTTCCTCCCAGGGCAGCTGGCCAGGGGGGGACCCAGGCGTCCCTTCCCAGAGCATGTCTCCTCCATGAGGATTTCCTTAAGGCTGTTATGCTCCTCACACTCTGGAAAAAGATGAGCACATCTTGCTGATTGAAGCAAAGGTTCTGCAGTGACACTGCCTTAGGTGGGAAGGCAGCTTCGGCCACAAGGACAATAATCCCTCAGATCAAAACTGAAACACTCCCCTATTCTGCCTGTTTATGCTTAACTTTCCAACAGCTCTACAAGTCTAATGATTATGTAAACGCACACTCAAAGGTAAACCAGCTTATTTCAGACCACTTCAACCAGCATGTGGCAGAGCCTGAATGCAAACTTCCCAGTGTCCTGTTATTTTCAACACATATTCATGCCTCTTTTTATGAAAATTTTTTTTATTGGAAAGCAGATTTGCAGAGAGGAGAGACAGAGAGAAAGAGCTTCCAGCCGTGGTTCACCCTCAAAATGACCGTCAACAGCTGGAGCTAAGATAATCTGAACCCAGGAGCCAGGAGCTTCTTCATGTGTCCCACATGGGTGCAGGAGCTTAAGGCTTTGGCCCATCCTCTGCTGAATTCCCAGGCCAGAAGCAGGAAGCTGGATGGGAAGCTGAGTACCAGGGATCCAAGCTGACATTCTTTTGGGATGCTGGCACTTTCCAGAGGGGGAAGATCAGCCAATTGAACCATTGCACCAGGCCCAATTTGCATGCCTCTTAAGAACTTAAGAATGATATTGATGGGGCTGGAGTTACGCTTCAACAGGCTAATCCTCCTCCTGCAACTGCCAAGATCTCATATGGGCACTAGTTCATGGGTCTCCCTATTTTTTCCCTGACACCAATTGATTATTTAGATTGTCATCTTATCATCAAAAATTGTTACAAAATGATTTAGGATTTAAGCGTTTGGGGTTGGTATGGTGGCCCATCAGGCTAATCCTTCTGCTGGCATCCCATATGGGCACTGGTTCTAGTCGGTTATTCCATTTCCCATCCAGCTCCGTGTTTATGGACTGGGAAATCAGTAGAGGATGGTCCAAGTCCATAAGCCCTACACAAGACCCAGAAGATCTTGGTTTATAGCTTCAAATCAGCTTAGCTCTGGCCATTGTGGCCATTTGGGGAGTAAACCAGCAGATGGAAGATCTCTCTCTCTCTCTCTCTAAGTCTTCCTTCCAAATAAAAAACAAAAATTTTAAAGAACTTTTAAAAGCTAAGAAGTTACTATCTGACCTCAAAAAAAAAAAAAAAAAGAGAGAGAGAGAGAGAGTTAAACTTTCAAAATGCAAAGTCAGTGAAAGAATTTCTCAAAGAAAAAGATCACTTTATAAAGACATGTCCTCCCTTCTACTGCTGTGGTAATATGAGAGTAAATGGTGGGAGCAGAAATTGGAGATAAATGAAGGGGAGGGAGGAACCTATATACTACAAAACAGTAGCATGGAGAATAATAAAACAAAAGTGAAAAAATGTGAAACAACATGCACATGTAACACACTTATGTCAAAGAACACCCATTTTTCCACTGGGGGCTTAGAGATCTTTGTCTAAGTTCTTAACAAGAACAGCGATCCTTCATTTCTGATATTTTCTAAATAAATCTTTTTAAATTGTAGCTTGCACATCTCCATTCCCTGCCCCCCCGCAAAAAAAAGCAGAGCAGATTTCTCTTTAGTAAGTAAGTCTTAGTATTTTTTTTTCCCTGTAATAGTTGGTTTTTAAGTTATCAGAAACACGCTGAAAACTAGCCTCATTTATGGCGAGAACTCTCCAAGCTTCCTGCTCTTCTCTGGTCCTCTGTCTCCTTTCCCCTTTCCACTGTTCAGGAGTGGCACTGAACAAGAGCAGCCAAATTTAACCCCAGCCAGCGAGGAAATGTGTATTCCATGATCTGTACTCTTACCAGGGCTTGTGGTCTCCTCCCGCTCAGCTTCATTCTCACTTCGGCCACAAGTCTCATAGCCCAGGTCCTGCAGGTCCACTTGGACCTGCTTGCTGTCTTGTTTCACCAAGGATTCACCTGCTTGGAAAGATACCAAAAAGTGTTACTGGGTAGGCACAGCCTCCCTCAACCTCAGTGCCACATACCCTGGCCCTTAGAGGTTGAGTGGCCGGATTCTACTCCATGAGGCAGAACTTCCCATCACTTTCACATAGACTCAGTGATGTCTGTATGTTGAGTGTTGCATACATTGGTCTCTGGAAGCCCCAGTGGACCAAAGCAGGTGTTTTACCTACAGGGCCTTGGTAACTATTTGAACAGAGCTTTACTTAGAGTAGAAAGACATCTCAGTCCAGTTACACAGTTACTGGTCACATAAAATTCATATATATTCTACATGATTATTTCATATTACATTCACTATAATTAAACAAAACTTAAAATTCCAGGTTGCACCAGCCATATTTCATGTGTTCAACTACCACACATGACAGCCATAGAGAACTTTTCCATCAGCTGCAGGAAGTTCTGGACCATGCTGACGCTAGACCAATAATGATGGTAGGTTTTTGGAAAATCTAACATGATATAAAGAGAAGCAGAAGAGAAACCATTAACCTGCGTTGAGAAAAATACAGCAATTTATTGGGTATGCACAAATGGACTGACCAACAGATGGCCATTCTTCACTACAAGCTTGAAACCTTTATTCTTCATTCTTTCTTGTCACTTGCTAGTGGAAATCAAATATCCATTTCCGTAGTTCTAGGAAGATGGTCAGGATTCAGTTTGTTTTGAGGTGCAAAAGAAAACTCAAGTCTGGGAAACACAAAGCTTCCTTTGAAGAGGAAAAACTGTGATGATGGTATTGTTGTAAGACTTACCAAATACGACTCTGTATTTCTCCAGCTGGTTCGCCTGGGCGAAGACAGTGGCTTCTGAGATCAGCAGCTTCTCTTGGAGATCTTGGTAGCGTTGTTTGCATTGTGCCAGTTGGGAGCGTAGGTGCTTGGTGGAGCCCGAAAGGCTGAGTTCTGACTGTGGCACAGGATCCCAGATCTGGGGTTTGTTATTCAGCTGTAAAAAGGGCAAGGACAGGAAGAGGGAAGTGTGAGCTTATCTCTTGCCCTCCTTCCCCCTCAGGAATCTGTGAACTCAATTCATGTGTCATCCATAGCATTTGCCCTGCCATTTGGCCATTTCTCACTTTTTGGACAGGGTTCCTGGAGAGCTGGGATGTGTTTATTCATTTCTGTATCTATAGCACAGAGCACAGCACTCAGATCTGGAGAGATCTCAGGAAACACAAGAAGAAACGTCATCTCCCTCCCTTCTTTCTACAGTGGTTATCACAGAAGCTTTTGTATTCATTTTACTAAATCCTCAGCAAAGTTGCTTCCCATAAAAGCATCCCAGCAAGCCCCTCTGAGACCCGGGAGCCACCCCTGTAGTGAGCCATAAGAAAACAATGAGAATAGGGTTGTCATTACACAGTGCTTGTTTGACTACCTGAATCCCAAAGTTTCACTACCCCACGGCAGTTGCCATGATCTTTAAAAAATAAATAAATAGGGTCTGGCGGCGTGGCCTAGTGGCTAAAATCCTAGTCTTGACATACCGGGATCCCATATGGGCGCCGGTTCTAATCCCGGCAGCTCCACTTCCCATCCAGCTCCCTGTTTGTGGCCCGGGAAAGCAATCGAGGACGCCGAAGGCTTTGGGACCCTGCACCAGTGTGGGAGACCTGGAAGAGCTTCCTGGTTCCCGGCTTTGGATCAGCACAGCACCGGCTGTTGTGCTCACTTGGGGAGTGAATCACTGGACGAAAGATCTTCCTCTCCATCTCTCCTCCTCTCTGTATATCTGACTTTGTAATAAAAAAAACTTTAATAAATAAATAAATAAAAGTAAATTAAAAAATAAATAACAGTGTGACTTGATAAAGAAGAGTAGGGCAGCCTGTGCCTGGAATCTTGAGTTCACAGCCCATTGGTGCTGTAGACATCATTCTAGGGCTAACTATGTGCACAATATTATCGTCACCACTGCTTCTGGCTCAAAGGCTTTTAACTCCTGATACAAGAGGCAAAACTACTTAAGGCAAAGACTCGCATCTCCAGCCCCTCTCCAAATGTCTTTTTACTCCATCCGTACCCACACTTACTTGATGGGCATCCCCAGGGAGAACAGTTCCGAGGTCAAGGCTCTGGGGTCTGGGGTGGGGCCTCATGCTCACATCCTCCTCCTCTTGGCACTGGTGCTTCTCAGCAGAACAAGGCAGTCCCAAGTTCCTTTTGCCGGTCTCCTTGTCATGATGCCCCAGCAGCTCAGGAGTTGGTTTGTTCTTCCCTTCCTTGCTGTTCAGCACTAGCTGTTCCTTGAGGAGGCTGATAATATGGTGGGCATTCTTCAGTTTTCCCTGCAGCTTTCGGAACTCAGACTGAAGGTTACTGTCATTGGGACCTCCTTTGGCGGCTCCGGTCTCCACCATCACCTCGCCCTTCTCCTTGTCATCGTCTATCTCCCATCCATCAGACATTGCTTCTCCCACCTGCTCTTTCAGTTCTGCGTTCTCCAGGCAAAGGCTCAGCATGGTGTTCCTGATGGAAACGCACATGGTCAGGGGCTGCAGCTGGCATCACCAGTTGCTACCAGTACCTTTACCCACGTTTAATTCCATAATTCATTCAGAGACAACTCCGAGGCTGAAGTAACCTCAGAGACTGATAACTGCTTTATTTTACAAAACAAATCAAGAATCAGGAAGGCCAAGAGACTTGCTCATACTTCTACAGCTACTTGCTAACAGCATCATCACTAAAAATCTTGGACTCAGATCACCATGAGCCTCACAGCCTCCTATGTGCCTGCTGTCAATGGCCTTTGAAAGAAAACAACAACCACCACAACCACTGGGACTTATACTGTAAAGAAAACAGGAAGAACCTTGCCTACAATAAGTGTACTCTTACAGAATCTGCAGTTACATTAATTACACCAACCAACAGTCAGTTTGAAACCACTGAATGATAAATACGAAACTAGGAACACAGCAGAAATAAATAACATGAATCAGAATGATAAGGAAATGTACTTAAATAATTATTTGCTTATGGGGGCTAGCTCTGTGGTGCTGGGAGTTAAGCCACCACCTGTGATGATGGTATGGAATATTAGCACAGATCCAAATCTCAAATTGCTCCACTTCTGATCCAGCTCCCTGTTTGTGTGCCTAGGAAGGCAGTAGAGGATGGTCCAAGTTCTCAGGCCCCTGCCTCTCATGTAGCAAACCCAAATGAAGCTCCTGGCTCCTGGCTTTGACCTTGCCTTGCCTTAACTATTGCAGTCATCTGGGCAGTGAACCAGCGGATGGAGGTTCTTGTTCTTTCTTTCCCTCTCTGTAATTCTTTCAAATAAATGACTCTTTAATGACTACTATTTATATCTTTTGGTTCAGGTGATGAGAGGCGGCCTCCATGAGAGCTCTGTATTCTGGGGATCTGCACAAGAGCCTGCCATGCAAAGCACACAAAGTTGTTGAAGACCTAAGATTGGCTAAAACAACTAACTTGCACCAAAAAAAAAAAAAAATGCATCTATCCTTTCATCACAACAGACCCTTGAGTAGAGTGAGGTGGATGCAATAAACAACATGGATTTAACAAGATTATACACGCAACCTATTTGAGCCTAAATCTCCTTTTAGACAAAATGAGGATTATAACATGATTCTAAGCGGAGTTAGTAGATACTTTAACAAAATTACATATATGGTATGGCCAGCTCAGGGGCTGCCAGAGAGAATTCAATCAAATCCATGCTGTTCTAGTTGCAGACCTAAGGAAGCAACACCTGACTTACATGAGTGACTTGAAGTGCTAAGGTGTAGGAACCTACATTTTACTTAAGCACCACAGGTGAACCTTCGGCATTCTGAAATTACACCCACTGAGCTGGAAGAGGGAAAGGAATGGGTTAAGTCACAGTCCTTAGAGCCAGCAGATGGCTGCATACCTCGACTGGATGTACTCCTGAGCAAAATAGAAATTAATTTCCGAAGGCATCTATATGTGGTTTGAATGCAGGCTCAACTATCAAATCAAAAGAGAGGTATTGTTCTTCCCTGTGACACCTCAACTAAGCTCATATACAAAAAAGTTTAAATAACCTTATGTTGTACCTTAAGTAGAATTTAAGACTGATAATTCAAAGAAGTGATTTTTCCAATCACTTGACAAAATATAAAGTACAGAGAAATCTCTTTTAAAATGGGAGGTGGGAGTATATAAAAATGAAAATATTCATGAATGATTATGCAAACTTGAGCAAGTCACTTGGAACTCTCTAGGCCTGAGCTTCTTCAAGGACATGAGGCTAGATGCTAAAATTCTCTTCAAGCACTAATAGTATTCAGGCACTCAAGTGGCACATAACACACAAGGACACAATAGGGTGCAAATTAAAATACATAACTTCACCATTGTGGTGAAAGCAGAGCATGACAACCATGGTGGGCAGGGATGAGGGAGTAAATGAATTAGTCCTACTGTATGAGCAAGTTCCTCAAGCATCAAAAATATATATATAAAACCATCATGGCCAGTGTAGCCAATGGCCAGCTATTTGCTATTTGTTGTAAATCTAACAGTGCTGCAGAGGTGACCAAGACTGTCCTGCCATGATTCAAGGACTTATGCTTCAGTGGGGGTTGAATGGAGACAGACGGGTCCCTGTGTAAACCCTCCTTGCAGGCTGTTCTGGTTCTGAACAAAGCATTGAGATATCTTGATGAGCAAGAGACTCCCCACTTGGTCAAGTCCAAAGAGTAATACTAATCACACAACTGAGAGTTTCCCATCCATCACTGTCACATGCATGACGGGAACATGGGCAATGGCAACCAGTATTATTATAGTAAGACTTGATTGATTGGTAAAACAAGTGATTAATTAGCATTACCCAATATTATCAACTTCTTTTTTCTGAAGAATTTATAGAAACATCAATGCATACAGCCTGGGATGTGGACTAAGCAGTCCCATGACAACACTAGCACCTTGGCTGCAACAGGGGGCATGCCTTGGGCACATGGCCTCATTCCCAGCAGGTGCCCCTTCTCTTGACAGAGCATCCTACCTGATGTGAGACACGGAGGAGAATCCTGCTTCCTCAATTTGAGCCTTTAGCTCCTTCAGCTCCCCCTCTGCTTTCCTCTTCTCTTCTAGGTGCTGATGAACCTCAGCCCTCAGGTGTAGCATTTCTTCCTGCAGACACCTGTTACTGTCCCCTCCGACTGGGGAAGAGGAGGAAAGAGATACATCCGGGGTGTCCACAGCTGCCAAGCTTTTCTCCAAAGCCACCTTGATGAGCTGAAAGAAAATCATAATTTTAAAAATTAGGTCATTAAAGAGAATTCAAGAAGAACATGGCATAACAAAAATATTCTGCAATGCGGACCCAAAGAAGGTAGACCTAACTGGACCCAGCAACGACTGTCTCCATCATAAGGGTGCTGAGATTGGTGCAGGTGGTGAGGAAACACCAATAACATAGGCAGACTGAGGCCAGGGGAAATAAGAGGAGCTTAGAAAGGAGTGAGAATGTACACAGATGCATGGGAAATGAACACAAATGGGTTTAGTCAGAACTGGAGCATGTGGCTACAGTGAGCTTTTCTTGCTGCAGCACAGAATTCCCAGGGAGTCTGCTTACAAGCCAGGGAACTCCATCAGTCCAGAGACACTGGAGCCCTGAACTGCGGATCACTGCACAAGATATCATTCTTGATGCCTAAGCCTCTGCCTGTAACTTAGTCTCCAAAGAGGACATCTGTCTGGGAGGATGCAGACCACAGAGAACAGCAGAGTCACAGCAGCACGGAGCTACAGGCAGGACAAGGCAAGCTGAATCTTCCTGGCAGCAGGACAAGGCAAGCAGGGGTGAAGCCACCTTGACAGCCGCCAGCTGTATGCTGACACTACCACACAAACTCTCTCTACAGATCCAAGCATGGGAGAAGGGAACAAAAAACAGTTACCAACACCTTTTTTTCCTCCCCAAGGATACTCTTGAAGGACTTCTCAGACTTTCAATTAAAACAGATTTTGTGTTTTTTTTTTCTCCAGATTGGGGTTTATCAACTTTGAGATTTTATCACTGTTCATTTTGGCTTTTCTCCAGATTTTTACCATGCTTTACAAATGGAAAAATCGAAATCTGGATATGATCATGTATTTAGAGTATGGTCGATCATTTTGGTCTAAGATTATTCTGCCTATCTGTTTAATACTAATCTGTTTATTATCATTATTTTTTATTTTATTTGGAAGACAAAGTTATAGAGAAAGAGAAAAATCTTCCACCTGCTTTTCACTCTCTAAATGGCCACAACGGCCAAGGCTGAACTGGGCTGAAGCCAGGAGCCAACAATTTCATCCGGGCTTCCCACATAGGTACAGGGGTCCAAGCACCTGAGCCATCTTTCACTGCTTTCTATGGTGTATCAGCAGGGAGCTGGGTCAGAAGTGGAGCATCCAGGTCTTTAACCACCACCCATATGGGATGCCAGCACTGCAGGCTTTATTCACTATTTCACAGCAGCAGCCCCCAGTACTAATCTTAGCACATCCTAATATGTTGGCTTCTCGGTTCCTTGGTGACAGTATTTTTAGGTTTCACTTCTGAGTAATGTGGATCTTTTGACTTGCCACTGTTTCTCCTGAGCTAAGTCTGGGTCATATCATTTTATCTCCGTAAATATTGTGATTGTGCTTATCATCTATAAATCCACTCTGGCTATACAGCTCACTTTCCAATGACCAAAATATTTGTTGTGTATCTCCACGATCCAGGATGATTTGTAGAATTAGTTCCAGGCTTTATGCCTTCACTCTGGTCACCAACACATTCAACAGCTCAGGGTCCAGAACAGAGCTGCTTTTCTGGATCAATGACTGATGGAATTTTATGGAAGGCACACTTTGGTTATTCCCCTCAATAAAGCATGGTAGAATCCAGGCCACACACACAAGGTGGGCTCTTGCAGAGCACAGGTGTGTAATGGTGGCCAGCAGTAGAGCACCTGAGGTTGTGAAGAAATGTGCACTCGTGACAAAAGAAGAAAAAGACCCATTGATGTAACTAGACAGATCCTAGGTGTCCAGTCCCACCCAGGGCTTGTAGCCTGTCTCCATGACTCTGCAGAAGTCAGGCTGGTGGCCAGTCTAGCTTATGCTGCCAATCTCCTGGGACAAAACACACACTTTAAACTAACTGATTTTATATTTCTATATAAACTCTCTCAAACTTACTTCACTAGAATGAATGCACTCCTTTCTAAAACACAAGGGTGCCTTTGGCTTAAATCTCATGTCTGACTTGAAAAAAGCCCATCTATTTATAAAGGGCCTTCTTGATATACATCACCTATTTCCATTGATTTCAAAATGCCTATTTACTTTACCAAAAAAAAATACAATCCATACATTATTTATTAATACCAGAGGAACACTGAGGTCTATTTGCTCTAATTCATGACATGAAAAATTAGAATGTAAGTCCTCGTCTAGAAATCTGATTTTTTTTTTGCCCAAGCTAAAATTTGAGCTTTCATATTTTCATCATAAAGGGGCCTTACTTTGGCTAACTTTCAAATTTAACTGAATAGTAAATGCACAAGCAGTGACTCGGGACCTAACCTTTCCATAAGTGTGTATCACCTTGGAAAAGCAGAGGTTTCTGTTCTTTGCCAGAGACTGAAGCCCAAGGCTTCTGGGATGTAAGAGAGCCAGTTGAACTGATTACAGCTTTCTGAAATCATTTCTCACTCACAAGTTTTGTTTTTTACATTTCCTAGCTCCCTGGTGCTAGTGCTTCCACACAATTTTTTGCTGTCTGGGTTCTGTCACAAGGTCAAGTCAGCACCAGGGATATTCAAAGCTAGCTTTTGTCAAGTGCTCAGCACACTAATCACTGCAGAAATGCAGAACAAACCACCATGAGAGGGTGCCTAGTATCTGTCACAACAGGTTTTCTCAAAAAGATGAAAGATGACAAGTGCTGGACGGAGTGAATGCAAGAAAAACTCTTACACACTGGTAGTTGGAAGATATATATTAACACTGCCATTGTGAAAAATAGTATGCGGTTCCCCCCAAAATGAAAAAGAAAATTACCACATGTTTCAGTAATCTGACTTTGGAGAACATATTTTAAAAACCTGAAGTCAATATATGAAGCAGATGTTGTCACTCCCATGTTCACTGAGGTACCACTCACAGGCAGTACAATTCTAGTTATCCATGACTGGATGCATGGAAAGGAAAACCTGGTGTACAGACATCACGCAAAGTGGGAGTGGTTCAAAAAGTTCGTGGAAAATGAAACTGAAAGTTAAAATACTAAAAAACTTAAATGTATCACAATAGGGGTTTTCAAAATGTTCATAAAAATGGATATTATGGAAAATGCTGTGAATTTCAAAAATTTTTATATCAATCAACAACTTTGACTCCATTTTTCCACAATTTTTTTTTAAGGATGCTTGTACTACTCTGCTTAAAGGAAGGGTGAAGGGAACCCTATGGTTTTACAATAAAAGAGATGAATCTGGAGGACCTCATGCTAGGTGAGATAAACCTAGTACCTACAGGCAAACACTGTATAATTTCCCTTACATTTGGAACCTAAAAAAGTAGAGAACAGAGCGAATGGGAACCGTTATCAAAGTGTACAAAGTATCAGACAAGTGTTATAGGTTTTCAGATGTATAGTATAGCAAGATGACTATGACCAATAATCATGTCATTTCAAAACAGGAGTCTGGCTTTTGAAATTCCAACACAAAAAGTACAGATAGGCAAGGTGTTGGATACGATCATTAATTTGCTTTAATTGTTTCACACATCATCCATTTGTGTGGAGTACAAAGCATCACATTGTATTCCATAAAAATATAAAGTTAAGATAGTAACTGTCTTAAAATGCCTTTTCTCAATTTTTCAGTCTACTGATTCTACTCTTTGTATTTGAATCTTGATTCTTGATTGACTTTTATCCAGTAAAGTTTTAGATAAAAAGCAATGGTGGGTTAGTTTCTTCCAGAGTAATGTCCTAGGTATTCATTATAGATCTTACATCCACTTCAGAATGGGATTTTGCTAAGATCCCTAGGGAATACTGCATCATGTCCAGACTTAAAGCTTCCTTGGGCGAGTGAGCACAAAAAAAAAAAAAAAAAGAAGAAGAAGAAGAAGCAAGCAATTAAACCGAAAGGTAACTCCTTGGCAAGAACACAAAACTGAATGTGTTTTTTAAGGGAATTATGTGTATGCTTGTGGCAGGAAGGGAGTTCACTGTTGAGAATAAAGCTGACTTCACAAAGACACAACAAGGAGGCACCCACCTACAGGCTAACCTTCAGGAAGTCATTCTCTGGAAACAACTAAACAAACATTTGAGAATCTGGACACAAGGTGGTATGGCAAAGCAAGCTTTATTTAATTGTTAGCAGGAGATTCACATCCTCAAACTCCAGAAAAAAATGAAGTAGTTTACAATGATTTCAATGATTTCACAAACCATAGTTCCTCCTATCCAAAGTCATTGATAAACTTTCAAGAAAATGTGATAGAAAAAAAAAAGTTGCTTACCCAAAAGATTCTTCATTCAACAAGTATATACTTTGTTTATCATGAGTCAAGTCCCGATTCAAAGGTTCCTTAATCTGTAATTACACTAGGTACCTCTTTATGTAAAGTAGCATGGCAGGCACGTATTGTCCACCTTAAACATTCACTCCAGGCTAAACTAACCATCTCAGCATGGGGTCTGGTCCTGTTCTCCATGCTAGGCTAAAGGGAAGGTGGAGGAAGAAATAATTTACAGGGCAGGTTGCCACAACTAAAAACTGGAGCAAAGGGTATACATGACTAGGGACAGTTTAGAGCATGTCGATTAGAATGTGGGTACCTCTCTCCCATGCTCATGACTCATTTACTTATTCCAAATTCATCCTGTCCCATGGTCTCTGTAATCACCAGTGATCATCCAACTTGCCAATCTAGTTTTATCTCATTCATCCTATGGGTCCTCAAGGAAAGCAAGGAACACGGGACAGAGGGAACTGCTCAGAGAGACAGTGGTATACATGATTCAGGTCACAACCATAGATTAGGAAAACTCAGAAGCAGCTGTTAAAGCAGAGCTCATGCATGAACTCAAGGCAGAAGGTCAGGCACGGCTAGAGCAACAAAAATGAAATTGTTCTAGAAGGTAAAGAAATTGTTGAGCACATGAAAAGGTATCCCAGACAAACTTACATCCTCAAAAGCCAAATTGTGTAAGATTTAGACACTGCTCACGTGAGCTCTTCTTACAATTTGTTAGATATGTCGTCTCTTCTTACGCAGGAGATGTACAGGCAGACCCAGAAAGCCTCATTTCCCCTACAGTCGTCTGAAGAGGCACCCACAAAGCCATTATTGGACAAGCTCAGTGGCTTCTGCAGAAGGATATGACCAATGATCCAGTTTCTTCTTAACAACTGAATCACAGGCATGGTCCCTCTAAGAGGTGTGACTACTCAAGACAGCGGACAAAGTGGAGATAAACAGGAGTTCCAGTGAATGCTGTGGGATCGCTATGGGTAACTTAATCCCTGATGTACATGATATTCACTCCAGGGCTTGAGAACATGCTGTTTTCCCCTTCACTGATGGCAGCAAGTGTTCAAGCCTTGGGCAACAAGTTCTGAGGCTTGACTGAGTTTGTTGATGAAGTACCACCTGCCGGTCATTGACTTCTTATGAACTAGGTGACTTTGTCAGTTGTGTGAGAGTTCCCTTTCACATAATGAGATTTCAGTTTCCCCACTTTAGAAACACTCTGATCCTCTGGAAGCTTCCCAAGGAGTATTCTTCATGTCCTAGGCCCTGCAACCACCCCAGGCAGCCCTTCCATGACTCCCTATCTTTTAGAGTGTGTTTCAGTCACAAAAACCCTGGAAGGGAAGCTCCCAGTGTCTTGTAACCAAACATTTTCCCGAAATTTTAGCTATGGGGTGTATTCAGGGGCAAAAGGTAGGTAGGTAGAGGGGTTAGGAAGCAGAAGGAAGACATTTAAGTAATAAACAAAGGGTGAATTAGGGAGGAAAGTGGAATGAGGAAGTGAGTTGAACAGGCAGCTGGAGAGCATGGGGAGGTCAGGAAGCAGCTTAGGAAACGACTTAAATCAAAAGATGATCTTCTCACTCCACGTCCAGGTGGGCCATAGGAGGCATCAGAGCCTCGGAAGGGCCGTGTACCTTCCACCCTGGGAACCCCAGAACTTGACCCTGACTTACTTGCTGGTGGCTCCTGTGAGCAGCTTCCTCCTCAATGCTGTCTGTGAACTCGGTGCTTGTATCTTCAGTGTCATCTCCTGCAGCTGAACCTGGAAGTAAGTTCAGAAAAGAAGGGTGATTCCCTTTGCAGATGGCTTCCAGACAGCAGGTTACATGTACAATCATCTTGCCATTTGCCTCTGATTTCTTTCTTCCTCCATATGCATGGGCCCCTCGCCAGCAGGGCAGGCAGGAAAAGCAGCTGTCTTCTTACCGCACTGATCATTTGTAAAGCTCAGGTCTTGGCTTCAAGATATCAGGTGGCTTTGATTGCCTGGTTCTGCACCTAAATAGCCAATGGCCACTGTGTCATCCCTCTCAGAACAGGCTAAATTCTCCCTCTCCCTGATGTGCTAGGTAACAGCTTTCCCTTCTGTAGCATGGGCTGCACAGAACAGCTTACTTCCCAACACAGTGCTGAGCAGCAGTCCTGGGATTAGGACAGCCCTGTTCCTCTCACCCTTTTCCGTTGTTAGGATCAGCTGCGCCTGGGGTGACAATCTCTCTGTGAGCCTCCCCTGTTGGGGTCCTGTGGCCTCCAGAGTCCAGATCTAGTCACACTCCAAGGTTGTTCGCAAATCCCTTCCACTGACCTCGCTTCCCATATTTCTCAAACTCCTGTTGCAGGTCAGCATCCTTTGCATGAAGGATTTCTGGCACCACTTTGTCCAAGTGGGATTTATTCCATCCTTTCACTCCTCAAGTCACCCTCGAGGACAAGTATCTACACGCTGACCAAAAGGATAAAGCACTGTGGTTCGTGATCTGGACAACGTGCTCGATCAGCTCTAATGGACAGAGCTCTCTGCAGGGCTGGCGTTGTCCACTGCCTGTGCTGCCCAACAGCAGAGCGCCCAGCTACAGGTGGCCCCTGAGCAACTGAAATGTGGCTAGCATGCCTAAAGGACTCTATTTCTTACTCCACGTAAGATCTTTTTATTTAGATAGCCACATGCACCTGGTGGTACCCATATTGGTCAGCACATTGTCTGGGACATTTCTTCCTCTACACATCAGTTAAAAAATAACCAATCAAGGATTGTGGTTCATATTACTAACCTTTTCTAAAAGTGTGGGTATTCATATAGTTAATCCATTTGAACACCAAAGAAAATCTACTGTGATGGTCTCTGTGTCTTACAGAATCTGTCCTCAGTTTCAGAATCTTCAGATCTAGTGTTGATCCTGACCTCAGCAATCAACTTGTTGAAACTCTTCTTCTGACCAGTTAAAAACTTGAACCTCAGACAAGATTAAGTGGCTGGTCCAAGGAAACACAGCTAGTCTTGGCAAGAGCTGTACTGTTTTTTGTGACAATATGTTTCTTTGCATCTTCCTCCATGACCAAGCAATCTACCTGTTCCTGAGCAGACATCCATGACTGAAAGGCTCCACAACAACAATGAGCATCCACTACCCTTGCAAATGAGGTTAATCAAAGCAGTCCACATCTATACTCCTACAGGGCTTGGTAGCTTCAGCTCATACCAGAGTGTTTGCCGTGGCCCAGGTGGATCTCCCAAGAAAACTGAGACAGTGGGCATGCTGCCCTAACATCTTACATTCCCTGGTCCTCACTGAACATTCAATCAACTTTGTACTAGGGCAGAGTCCTGACTAGGCACCTTTACCGCCCAGCATCTTTAGAGACCTATGGTGCACAATCTATTGTGGGAACTTCCGAAACACTTTCAAACAAGCTCCAGCACCATTTCATTCAGGTTGAGTAGAGGTGAATAAACACAACATCACCCAAGCACTGCTGCCTTTGATAACTCAGTGAATGCAAGATGTTCAGTCACTGAGATGTCTGCATTTTATCACAATCATTTCATGAAATCTTGCCCTGCACAATAGTAGAAAACACAGCTTTCCTGGCTGTAAAGGAAATGACCTGTCTTCTCAGTGCAGATTAAGAAAACACACTTTTCACATGGTTTTCTTTTGGAGTCCTGGGCTAGAAAACCACTCTGTGGCTGAGAAGCGTTCCACTTTCTACAAGGTAAGGATCTTCACGCCCTTACCTCTTAGTGGTGGTTCGGTCATGCCAGACCTACATGGCAAGATGACTCCTGATTACTTTCAAAGAGTAAGTAAAGTAGGAACTAGAAAAGGTCATGGTCACTGGTTTCGAAGAATTTTTGCTAACAGGCTCTGTCCTCCACTCAGCTTTGTCAGCCCTTCTGATGCCACATCTACCTTGCTGGGTAATGGTCCCTCTCTGATTCACTGGGGAGCAGGATGTTATATATGATTCTGACTTCCTCCAGAATTAAACAGAGGCAAAGGGAGAATGCCCCATCTCATCCCATACTTTAATTAATGAACTTGCTCATTTTTGAAACACACACACACCCACATACACCCACATAACCTTTGGACACCTTGAAAGCTAAAAAATCTGTCCCTTAAAGTTAACTTGATTTTTCCAAATAGATCTTTCACATTAAACTGACATTTTTATTTTAAAGGAACTATTTATCCAAAGCTTCAGTGAAGTCCTCATGTTGTGATTCTCAGAAGTTCAGAGCCTCTGACCATACACAATGTCCCTTCTCTAGATTCAAGAAAGGATGCATATTTTCTAATGGCTGCTTGACCCTACAAAGTACACAGTAATTAAATAAAAAAGACCTACAATAAACCTTGGGTGAAAATCTTAAGCATTATACAAATGTGTTCTTATCACTGAGGTAAAATATTCACACTTCCATGGACTTTTTAGATTGAGGATGCTATAACGACTAAGAACATGAACTCTAGAATTGGATTATCTAAGTTTGACTTTGCTTTTGTGACTACTTGATGTTAGGCAAGTCGTTTTTTTTGGGTTTTGTTTTTTTTTTTTGTAATTCATTTTTAGCATGATTAATTGTATTATCCACTCCAAACAGTTATGTGAACTTCAAAAAGAGTTTACTGATTTTGAAGTGCATAAAACAGAGCTTGGAACTTTCATGCAAAATATAAGATCAATAAATATATAGGTAAACAAGCATGTCATATACATGTATCTAGAGGAGCTGTATAAGGGAGACTAACATATTGAGAAGTAGAGATACGTTACAGCATGCATCTTTACTCCTGAATGAAAGAAGGACTCCCAATGAAACTATTAAATGTAGGTTGACAGTAGGATGCTAGACATCCTACCATTGTCTATACCCAGTGTCATAATACACTTAAGTAGCAGAATGATGCACTTGGGACTGCTGAGGGACTGCACTATTGAAATAATATAGGGGAAGACAGTGTGGGGGGGGTGGGGAGGACAGAGATGCAGAGGGTGGAAGGGGAAACCCCTGAGCCTATGGAACGGCATCATGAAAAGGATAGATAGATAGATGGATAGATAGATAGATAAATAGATAGATAGAAAGATAGAAAGGAAGAGTTTGGCACACAAATATGTACCCTTATTGAAAATTGTCACTCTTGTTATCAGCAAGCTAAAGAGAGCCCATGGGCAGCAAAAAGTCAGAAAAAACTCAGAAAGTCAGAGGCTCTGGACCTTAAAGGTGTCGGCAGAGGCTCCACACCTACGGCTCTTCATGATCTTGGTGGGCTCTCCCTGCACTTCTTTCTAAATCTCTTTCCCTTAGCAGGAGTTGAAATACCACGTTGCTCCCCCTGCTCCACAGGAGTTTATAAAGCACAGGACTGTCAGCGAATCAGGGCTTTACAAACGGGAGTCAGCAGCATTCCTCATCACTGCCTTCAGTGCCATGCTGATCTATCCTTCACAGAAGAACTCACTGGAGTATCGTTTCATTCTGTTGGAACAAGTCCAAACTGGGTGATCAAGATCATTTGCCTCTAACCCTACTCTGCCATCACTGTTATTTACCCCCTTTTAGTCATTCCAATGGAATCAAGAGAAAGGGGGTAATATTTTCCTGTAGAATTGATTAAAACACAGCAGGGGTAAATTTACTCATTTTGAAAGGGAATTTGAATGCTAAACCTTGCCATGCCAAGTGTCTTTTTTCCTCAGTGATGGTCTTTTGTATTAAGTTATCTCCAGCCCATCTTGCTTTCACCCCCAGGCACTGTGCCATGTACTCATTACAAGATTGCACGTTTATGTCAGGAGCCAACAATTACTGATTTCATAGTTGTATGCTGTATCAAAAAACTCAAGGCAAAAAGTCTCCTATCAATCCACCTATCAACCCCATAATTTCACCTGTATTCATTCCCTTCATGACTTAAGAAAACATCAAGAGTATATATATGTGGGTATATATATGCATATATATGTGAGTATATATATACAGTCTTCCATAGCTTCTGCCAAGAAACAAAATTCTTTATCTCAGGAGATTCTGATCTTGAAACTGAAGTCAAAGAAAATGGTTCAATTCCTTCCTAAGATGTTTTTTTCTGGAATAGTTAAGTAACTTTCAAACAAATTACAATCCAAAACACTTTTGGGGGTGTGCGATTTCACTATGGTAATTATTCAATAAAATTGGAGTCACCCATCCTTAGGCTGATGGGAACATGTGTAAATTAGAGTTGTTCTAGGCAGACATGGAGACATGACCACTGTGTTTACTCTGCAACATTCCAGAAATTCTTCCTGGAGCTAGTGCTGTGGCAGAATGGGTAAAGCTTCTGCAATACCAGCATCCCATGTGAGTGCCAGTTTGTGTCCCAACTGCTCCAGGAGTGATCCAGCTCCCTGTTAACATGCCTGGGAAAGCAGCAGAGGATGGCCCAAGTGCTTGGGCCCCTGGGTCCACATGGGAGACGTGGAAGAAACTCCTAGGATTCCTGAGTTTGCCCTGGCCTAGCCCTGGCTGCTGCAACCATTTGGGGAGATTACTCTCTTGCTCTCTTTCTCACTCACTTTCTAACTCTTTAAATTAAAATAATAATAATAATAAATCTCAAAAAAAATTTTTTTTCTGCTCATAATCTTTTTGTTTTTTCTTCCTCAAAGAACATAGCAACAGCCTTTTCTAGGAACATGTAGAGACAACACTCCCAGTGCAAGTTTCTCAAACCTCCGTCTTGCCTTCTACCACAGCTCCCAGTTTGGGCAAGG